GGGTTAGTCTCGGGTTAGTCTCGGGTTAGGTTTGGGTTAGAGCTCTACGGCTCGTACCGCCCCTCTCTCGTGCGTTCACTCACTCGCCACACCACAGCCGCGGGCGCATGGCGAGCGGGACAGTCTCATGCCACAGGATCTATAATGTACCGCCCTCACTCAGCGCACGCACCCTCACTCCTCCTCCCACCTCCCTAGGGCCATCACTGGCACACGTTGAGGGCCGGGCCCCCTGCAGCCCGCACTGCCGCTGTAGCGGAGGCCATGGGCGCAACGGGAGGTGTGTCGACTGGGCGTCAGGCGTGCACGGAGCAGTGAGGAGGGACGTGCTCTAGTCGACGTAGACGACCCACTTCCAGCACGAGCGAGCCTCGTCCCAGACGTACCGGCCGCCCAGGCTTTCGATGTACACCGAGTGCTCGTCCGCGACCTCGGCGACATTCGATCAAGTTACCAACAACATGCCCTGTTACCAGAAGACCATGCCGACCTGTTAAGGCAGAATATGTTAACAGAAGTGCCCGCCGCAGCAGCCGTTTCATCTCGCCAACCAGCTCTAACCCGGCCCTAACCCACCCCTAACCCGGCGCAAACCCCTGCTGACGTATGCCCCCCAGCCGCACGGGTTAGTGCCGGGTTAGCGTCGGGTTAGCGTCGGGTTATGATAACCCGTTCTGACCCGTGCTAACCCGTGCCGGGTTAGTGAGCACTAACCCGCGCTAACCCGCGCTTACCGAAGGACTCACTTTTAGGTAAGAGGAAGGCTGCGGTCCGCGACGGCGATGCCAGAGTCTGCCGCCGAGTCGGCTCTCTGGAGTCTAGTCGCAGCAAAACTCGTCCCATGACTGGCCGCTGGCGACCCGCTGCTCGCGGCAAGTCCAAGTGTGGAGGTGCCACCGCCGCGGGCGAGCAGCCGCCGGATCCACAAGACCCAGAGCGCGAGCGCGCGGTAGACGGAGAGCGCGGTCCGCATGAGCGAGCGCACAAGCGGAGAGAGAGCAGGCGCCATTTTGCGTCGGACGGCGGCGGTGGCACCGCGCACCGCCCAGGGCTTGGGCTCTCTAGCCCGCACCAAAAATGGGCAAAGACGGGGTGATTTCGGTCATCCGTCAAAATATCTGAAGATCTCAATATAGGATTCTCCCCAAACCTTGCTCAGCTGATCCAGCCTGGGCCCTGGGGGGAAGGCCAGCCCTGGCCAAAGAAACCAGCACCTCATCGGGCTTCCCTGACGCCTGAGCGTCACAGCTCGGTGATCGCGCCGGCCGGACACCACTGTGACGTCCGTTCCGGGCATTTGAACGTGACCTTCGGGGGCAAAGACATGGGCTCTATGGCTCAGACTGGACTCCTCTTGGTCCCTTCTGATGCCCTAGGCCACACCTGGGCCTTACCTGGGGTCCTAGGGGCCGGGCAGGGTTTGCCCCCCCCAACTGGCCCGAAGAACCTTAAGACACTAGACAGCATCAGTAGATCCCCGGGCGAGGGTGGTGGAGAGGGCTGTCCCCGGCGGCGGAGGACCCACATCCCACATTGCGGCGGGCCGGCAGGTTTTCTCATCCCCCACATCCCACATTTGGACCACGCGTGACGCCGATGGAAACTCGAGACTGGCTCCAGTGGGAGCACCAAACGCCCTCTAGTTTCCCTGGAACTTCCGGAAACGAGAAATGCGGCCCTCTGGTTTCCACGAATAATGAGTCCTGAAATATGTGTGAGTCCTGAGGCTCCTGACACCTCGATCGTGGAGATTTTTTTGAGTCGAAGACTGCAGATCGGCGACAAAACTCTCACACCCTGTTGAGAGAGAACAAACAAACAATCTGAGAGAGAGAACCCTGATCCCTGTTGTGTGTGTGTGTGTGTGTAACCTTTTAGAATTCTTTCGCACAGCGCTCACAGCCAGCCTCACATAAGCACAGCGCTCGCGGTGTATTTTATTTTTGTTTCCGGACGTCACGGGGAGGCAGGGTAGGCCTGGGCCCAGTTTTTCCCTCTCTTCACGCCGGAATTTTCAGAAAAAGAAATTTTCCGCCGAAATCACGATGTCAACCCTCCCCAAGTGGGTGATCTGGAGAGAGAGAAATTTGGTGCTTCTTGAGAGTGGCCTGTCATGTCTCAGGAAGGACTGTGGTTGCAAGAGAGTACCACCAACCACCCCACTTTAGTTGGTATAGTACCCCACCTTCACACAAAAACACAACCCCGGACCCAAGACGCACAAGCAAGCACAGACAGTCGAGAAGGGAGAGACAGCAACGACAGTCAGAAGCCAGCGCTGGGTACCAGGAAGGCGAATGCGATGACGGCCTCTAGTGTGAGCTCTAGCGCTAGAGCTCATACGCACGCAGGCAAATCGCGACTATATACAGCTAGTTAGTTACCCCACCTTCACGCTATGTAGAAAGATGAACAACAGTCAGGCTCGGACTGGACACCAACGCGGTATGGGTGGACGCGGGACAGATGATGACGACACGCACGAACGACACACAGACAAACAAAACAAATCTCTCTCTCTCACAACACAACACAAAACCTCCTTACTTCAGCTGGCATGTCGGCTGTCGGGCCTCTTCGGCTCGCGGCCGCCGTGCTGCTGATCCTGAGCGATCCTGCGCTCGCACTCGCGCAGAGCACGCGTGCTCTGCGCCCCGTGGACGCCGCGACAGCGGAGTCCCACGTCGGCGCTGTCCGACACCCACTCCTCGGCTCGACGCTCCAAGAGCTGCCAGCTCGACCCGCTTCAAACATCTGCAGCGCGGTCGGGCCGGTCCAAGCTATCGTCGCGCACCCGACGGCTGCCGACGCGGCTCCCGAGCCAGCCTCGGCTGCCGCCACGGCTTCCGCCACGGCTTCCGCCACGGCTTCCGCCACGGCTTCCGCCACGGCTTCCGCCACGGCTTCCGCCACGGCTTCCGCCACGGCTTCCGCCACGGCTTCCGCCACGGCTTTCGCCACGGCTACGGCTTCCGCCACGGCTACGGCTTCCGCCACGGCTTCCGCCACGGCTGCTGCCACGGCCGCCGCCACGGCTGCCGCCACGGCTGCTGCCACGACTGCTGCCACGGCTGCTGCCAAGGCTACCTCGTCTCGTGTGTCTTTTGCGTCTGTGTCGCGTGACGAGTCCAGTGTACCTAGCGTGTCTAGCGTGTTTTCTACCCGCTGCACAGGTCCGGCGCCGACTACCTCGACCGTCCCACCCACCTGGCACCGTGCAGAATGGCTCTGTGTCGGACCAAAGGCAGCCACAAGGCAGCCTGTCCCTCACAGTGTCCACAACGCCGGTGGGGTCCCCTCGGATGAGGGGGCTGGGGCGGCACAACCGTCTTGCCCATTGCCCTCGACGACTGGCAGAGCCGGAGCCAACCGCACCAACCACAGCCCGACCAGTAGCCAGGAAACTACCCCGCTGGGCGGGGGCCTGGTTGGGTTGTGCGAGGTGCGGCCCTCTCGGAGCCACAAATTGTACAAGTCCATTGACTCCGAGCGCATCTTCTACCCGTCCGACGACTCGCTCCTGCCGGGACCCTGGTCGACAGGTACCGAAGGCGGTCGAGCACCAGGACGAGGAGGCGCCGTTCTGGCGTCGCCCGTCCCCAACAACTCTGACATCGACATCTTCGTTGGCGGCACGCCTGCAAACGAGACCATCGTCAGCCTCTTCTCGCGCGACGCCTCGTCGGCGGGCGGCCTCTGGGACCTCTCCGACCCGCTCGGACTGGTGCTGGCAAAGCTCCCGGGAGATCTCCTACTCGCCGGCCTCATGGCGGTTTACACCAAAAACGGCATTTTCGCTTCCCTGTTCATCTTACACAGCGTCTCCGCCGCGCCCAAACCTTGGTACTATGCGCTCTACGTTCCAGGGTCTGGTTGGGGCGTCTTTTCCACGTGGGACCTCTGTGCAGCGCACGGCGCCATCGGGGGCTCGAGGGCGCGCCACAAGAAGTACCGCGACATCCAAGAGGCGCTCGCCCACATCAACGTGCACTACCCAATCCCGACCTCGACCCAGATCCTACTCGACTTCTGGTACCCGTTTGAAGGGGAGGCGACGCCAGCCCATCCCGGCGTCCTTCTCCAACCGCCCGTCGTCCTGAGCCCCGGCACGATCACCACCTACGCCCAGCCAGGCGACGGCAACGGCGCCGCCACGTCGTCATCTGCTGCATCGTCCTCGGCGGCATCTCCTCCGACACCCTCCAGGACGAGCTCCAGCGGAAGCTCGGCCTTTGGCTCTCCGTGGCGCTTCCCACCCTTCGGGTCGCGCTCGAGCGGGGCATGTCAGTCGATTTCTTCGGCGACTACCTTTACAACAAGGCCCACCACCGGCGGCCCCACGACGGCGTCCTCGCCGCCTGGGCGGACGCGATGCGCGCCCCGGCCAACGCGCCGGTCGTGCACGGCGACAAGGAGAAACCAGAGCTCACCCGGCAGTACAACGAGGGGTACAAGGTCGACCTCGCGGAACCCCACGCTGGCCCGGGAGGATGCGATGAGGTGAATGAAGTCAAGCTCTGGACGCCCCTCCTCAAGACCTCCTCGGCGGGCGTTGGCAACGCCTCGAGCGGCGGCACGCCCGCCTCCGTTGGCCACTCCTACGCCTTCGGCAACACCGAAGAGAAGGCCCGCCGCCTAAACATGGGCTGCAAGGCGCGCGGGCAACCCGGCCAACCCTTCGACCACAAGAACGGCCACGGCTACGTCAAGGCGCATCGCGGTTTCTACCACGACGCGATCTTTGTCAAGCGCAACAACTTCAACCTGCTGCTCCACGAGACGTTCGGCGGCGGCTTCTCGCCCACCGCCGTTCTCAAGCTGCGCCGCCTCGCGCGCAAAGTCGCGCGCGGCAGCGTCGACCGCACGGCCTACTCGCCCAAGTACTCGCTCTCTTTTATGTCCCACCATGCAGAGCGCATCTCTCTCTCTGTTGTGCGAGGCGTGAACCGCGCCATTCGCTCTCACCTGGCAACCCTGTCTGCACGTCTCGCGCGCGCGTGAACAGGGCTCCAGGCCCCAAATGACGTGTGAGTGTTAGAGTTGTTTGGTATTGCTAAAAATCTCTCTCTCAGACACAAACAAGCTCACAAGACACACAGCCAGCTGGCTGCCACACACCCTGAGTTGGCGTACACATAACTCAGGGCCACATTCTTCCTGTCGCCCCCCCCAGCACTCCAAGGTGCCAAGAGAAACAAACGAGGGCACAACAAACAACACTTAACCGTGCGGACCGCGTTTTCTTCCTCGGCTGTTGGGCAATATGGCCCTGATGCTGTCCGACGCACGAGACTATGAGGGGAACGCGCGGAAGAGTCTCGATGCACGCCTTAAGGCCATGGGCATCACCAAGATGGGCCACCGGTGCGGGGTCATGGCTGCGTTGCCAGAGCTGCGTGCGTCGAGCCGCTCAGAGCGCCTCGAGAGGCTCAAGGCGGTGGGTCTGAGTAAGCTCGGGCACCGTCTGGGCGTGCTGAACCTGCTCGACGAGCTCAACGGGGCCGAAACCTGCACGCGTGCCACGGCGGAGGCTGGAGCGGCGTCCGGCTCGGGCCCGACCGGCGGAGCTGCGGCTGTGGCGACAGCCGCGCCGGCGGTAGATGCGGAGGATGCGGCGAGTGGGAGTGCGCCGGTTGAGGAGCCCCCGCGGGCGCTGGTTCGGGCGGAGCCGGCGGCGGGTGCCGAGGACGGCTGGCTGCTGCACGAGGAGTGGGTTGTGGTTCACTCTCCGCTCGTGTTTGTGCGCGAGGAGCCGGAGGATGAGTCGCGCAAGCTGGGGTACAAGTGGCGGGGCGAGCGGGTGGCGGTGAGCGGCGAGCGCGGGCCGTGGCTCAAGCTCGCGCTCGAGGAGGGCTGGATGCTGCGGGACGGGTCCGCCCTCGGACTCGGCTGCCGGCCCTGACCCTAACCCTAACCTTAACCCTTCCCCTAACCCTAGGTCCGCCCTCGGACTCGGCTGTCTGCTCGAGCCGGCTGCGAGGGCGAGCAAGGCGCTGCCTGCGCCGGGCGGCGAGGCGGGCGGCGCGGCGGGCGGGCAAGGCGGAGGCGCGGGGGTGCTGGTGCGAGCGTGTAGCACGGGCGCCGCGCGGAGCTTGACATCGATGGAGGGAGTAGGCGTGACTGTGGGCGAGCTGCTGCTGCGGCAGGTCTTTGAGAAGAAGTTTCCGAAGCGGACCCCGCGGCCAGAGGCGAGGCTGCGCTCCGATCCGCGCACAGACCCGGAGGGGGTGCGCTGCCCGCCCCTTGCACCCCTGGCTTGTGCCACCCTGGCCTGTGCCACCCTGGCCTGTGCCACCCTGGCCTGTGCCACCCTGGCCTGTGCCACCCTGGCCTGTGCCACCCCGGCCTGTCGGCGTCTCTTCTTGTCGGCGTCTCTTCTGCGGCGTCTCTTCAGAGCGTTCGCCCGCTGCCAGGTGGAGGCGAGCGTGCGGGCTGGCATCGAAAAGACGCAGGAGGGGTACAACGCCGCCAAGCTGCCCCACCGGCTGCGCGCCTGGCCGCCCGCAGGCCCGCTCTCCGTCGCCGGCGCGGCGGGCGTGCCGGTCAACGTGGACGAGATGGACGCGAGTGCGTTCGGTGGATCGGCGGGCGGCTTGTCTCCCCTCGCCGCCGCGCTCGGCGAGCGGTGGGTCGCTCAGAACCGGCCCGTCATCTTGCGAGGCGCGCTCCGGGGCTGGCCGCCGCTGCAGCGGTGGAGCGACTCGTACCTGCGGTCGGCTGTGGGCGGGAAGGCGGTGCCGGTCCGCCACTCGCCGCAGGAGTGCGAAGGGGGCCGCCTCTTCGGCGACCCGGGCCGCATGCAGGCCTACGAGAGCAGCGAGGTGCGGAGTGGGGGAGAGGGTGCCGAGAGGGTGCCGAGAGGGTGCCGAGAGAGTGCCGCCCCCATCGCCCCACCCGCCCTCCCCTCCCCTCCCCTCCCCTCCCCTCCCCTCCGCCTGCGCGCGGAGGTCCCTCTCAGCGAGCTGCTCGACGAGCTCTCCGCGCCCCACCCCCGCTACTACGCCGCCCGACTCCAGCTGCGGCGCAGCCTGCCCGAGCTCCTCGCCGACCTCGACGAGACACACCCCGCAGCAGCGCTCGAGGGAGGCCCCGCCGCAGCTCTCGGGGGGTGCTTCGGCGACCCGCAGGCCACACCTCGCCAAAGAAGACTAGCTATACACCTCACCAAGCTCTTCACACCTCACCAAAGAAGACGAGCCTTCGCCCGCCCCTCGCCGGACCCGCTGACGGCGCGCACCCTTGCGCAGGCGGTCAACCCGGTCTGCTACCTCGGCGCGGGCAGGCAGGCGACACCGATGCACTTCGACCCGTCCGAGAACCTGCTCTGCGTCGTCCAGGGCGCCCCCGCCCCCTCCCCTCTCTCCGCCCGCGGACGGGGCCGACGAGCCGCCCATGCCGCCCCCAGGCGCCAAGGAGCTCACCCTCTTCCACCCGGCCGACACGCCCAACCTCTACCCCGCCGGCGAGCGAAACTCGGCCGCCGTGTACTCGCTCGCAAACCTGTGCGACCCGGCCGACGCAGATCGCTTCCCCGCGCTGGCGGAGGCGCGGCCGCTCCGTGCGCTCGTGCAGGAGGGCGATGTGCTCTATCTACCGTGCGGCTGGTGGCACGCAGTGCGCGGTTCGGAGGGGAGGAACCTGTCGGTTAACTACTGGTTCGCGCTGCACGAGTCCAAGGCGGACGCGCGGGTCGAGGTGGACGGTATCGTGGCGCGCGCCGCGAGAGAGGCCGCGGCGCTGGGATAAGCTTTTTGAACGCTTTGAGTCTCAGCCTGAGTCTTTATATCCGTCAATATAAGAACCTGAAGGATCCTCGCTGCACATTACACTTTGCTCACGCAGCACACGCACAGAGACACCCAGAGAGGCCCCCGACAGTCACACAGAGGCGGGCCGGGGCTCAGAGAGGGACTGTCAGAGCCCGTCAGAGCTCTCAAAGTGGAGCTCGTGGGCTCTCAGGCCTCACAGCTTTTATTGAGGTTTGAGCGGCACAGTTTGGACCTTTCCCTGATAGTGTGTATATATTGAACGGCAGAGTTGGAACCTGAAGGGTCCTGCACCACAGCACAGTGTGTATTGAACGTCAGTTGGAAGGGTCCTGCACCAAAGAGCACAAAGTGCTTATTCTGAACAGTTATTGAACAATGAGGCTTGATTGCTGTCCCTGTGCGATGCTCGCACCCGCTTGGTCGGAACGACGGAGGGACTGCTGCTTGCGTTGAGCATTTCGACTTCATCAGCATGGCGATCCTACGACCCGCAATCCTGCAGGGGACCAGTCGGAGTTGTAGCAAGCCATGATTGTGCATCTGTGCCTGCACCCGGTCCTCTGAATGCGCTTGTTGTTGTTGGGGTCATCGGGATCGTTGGGGTACACCCATGTTGCAACGATCGATGCAACTGCTGACGTCGTAGTCGCTTCCGAGTTGATACCGCCCCTCAGAAGTCCCGCCTCCGGGATTCACTTGTCCAACAAAGGCTTTGCAGCCACGTTTGACAAACCAGTCGGTCCAAGTTGTCCGTCGACGTAAGCCTCCTCACAAGCCTCGTAAATGCTCGTGTACGTACTTTTAGCTTACTGGGAGAAAAGAGAGAGGGGGTTGTGTTCTCTAGGCCCCTAAGGGCCCTACGCGCGGCGCGAGAGCTCGGAAGCGAGCTTTGCACGGCGATCGAGGATGGCACGGTTCACCCCCTTCACCGAAGCGATGGAGATGCGTTCCGCGTGGTGACACAAATGAGAGGCGGGAGTGGGGAGGGTACGCGGTGCGGTCAACGCCCGAGCGTTGAGCCTTGCGCGCAAGGCGGTTGATCTTTGCAACTGCTGGCGGCGAGAAGCCGCCGCCGAATGTCTCGTGGAGAAGCAGGTTGAACTTGTTGCGTTTGGTGAAGATCCCATCATGGTAGTGGCCACGCTGTGACTTGACGTAGCCTTGGCCGGTGGTGTGGTCGAACGCCCGTTGACCACGGAACCCGCGTTGCTTGCAGCCCATGTTTGCAAGGCGGGCGCGCTCTTCGGTGTTGCCGAAGGCGAACTTGTCTCCAACGGAGCCGGGGTTGCCTCCGGTGTCGGCGCGGCCGACCCCAACGGGCAAGCCACCCCGGAGGGGGGTCCAAAGTTTGACCTCACTGATCTCGTCTTTGCCCCCGGGAGCCTCGCCCGGTTCAGCCAGGTCGGTCTTGTAGCCCTCGTTGAACTGTTTGGTGAGTTCTGGTTTTTCGGCATCTCCCATAACGGGCCGGGAGACGGAGACGGCGTGGACACAATCGTACCAGGCGCGAAGTACGCCGTCGTGTGGGCGCCGCCGGGCGGCGTTGTTGAGGAACCAGTCGCCATGGTAGTCCTTTGCACCACCGACTGTGTCCCCAAGCTCGAGTGCCCGCGTGACGGTCGAGCGGCACTGCGAGAGGTGAAGGCCGTTTCGGCGCTGAAGCTCGCCGATGAATATGTCGTCTGGAATGCATGTGGCATTGCTGCCGTCGAGTTTTGTGTCGAGCCACCGCCCCGCGTAAGGCTGCGCAGTTGAGACGTAGCGGATGGACTCGCGTAGACGTATTTTGGTGTCGCCTGGCTGCCAGTTGGCTGCCGTGTAGTCGTCGAGGGCGCGCCACTCCTTCTGCAGATCGAACCAGTTCCAGATAGTCTCGATGGCAGCAAGCGCCCGCGCATACGAGGCCGTCATCGTGCCGCCATTCTGTACGACCTTCACGGCCGTCGCGCTGTTTGGAGTGAGTGCGTCCGTGTCGATGCAGGCCTGGCCTCCCGGGCCCGGGTCGTAGCAGATGTGGAGACTGTACGTGTTGGGCCAGAACCAAATGCCCGGGAGACGCAGCCCAGTCTCACTTCCGACGTGGAGGATGCTTGCCCAAGGTGCGGTAGTGCCGCGCGGGAACAGGTCGAACGACAGCGTCCAGTCGGCACCAGACGTCCAGCTGCCCAGTTGGCAGTTGCTGGCCTCGGACCGGCGAGTACCACGTGTCGCCACCCACATCGAGTGGTGGAGATGGCGCCGGCGGCGACACTGACGACGAATCGGCCGTCGAGTACACGGATCCGACGAGGTAGTCGCCAAAGCGGTAGCCGTCAGCCTCGTATGCGCCGACGCAGTGGTCGTGCGAGTGCCAGAGGTTGCCGTTTCCGTCGCCGGTCCCCTCGCAGTACGACGCGCGTCGAGCGGTGTGCCACCGAGCGCGCTCGAGCACTGGCAGTGGACGTCGTTGCCCATCGGGCACTCGAGACCCCAGAAGAGGTAGCCGCCAGCTGCGCACTGGCTCTTGCACGACTCGGCGCCGGAGGGCGGAGATCGCGACGTTGCCGTATGGGCAGCTCCAGCCGGAGGGGCTGCCGAGGCAGGCGATCGGCTGATGCTCCGGGACGGTAAGGGGCATGGCTGGCAAGGCACTTATCCCCGGGAGGAGTACGACGCTTGCAATTGACGCGAGCATGCCCACCTATCGGCATCGGTCGTGATCGGGTGGTGGTGTGTTTGAGGGTGGTTGGCCGAGACACGATACGGAGAATGATTCGCGCTGCTGGGAGGGCGGAGTGAAGAGCGTGCAACCCCTCGTCGGCAGCGCGCCGCAAGCAGGTCCTCCTGGAGGAGGGCTGGCCTCGCGGCGAGTTGCCTTCTAAGGTGGGGTTGCGCGAGCACATGCAGGCTCGCGCTGCGCTGCGGTATAAGGTGGGCCTGGCCTACCATGGCAATGCCGCTGAGACCGGTCGGTGAGTACTTGTACGACGCACCCGAGCTACGCGCCGACGCTGGACATCGGACAAGTGGTCCACACGCTGAACAGAATGTTCAATCTCAATGTCCCACCCCCCTGCGCGCGGGCCTTCTAGGCCCGCGGGTAATCTCCCCCCATCCCCAGGGCCTCCAGGGCTCGCACCTCAACCTCTCATAGACCAGCGCAAAGCGCCATAGGACCTATTTTCTTGTCAATAACAAGGTCTGTGAAGGTTTGACGTCTTCAGGTTAGTGACGCAAACCATCAAGGTTCAAGCATCACATGAGTGAGCTGCTGTCTCGTGCCTTGCGGGGGAGAGCGTTCCTCCTTCCCACAGTTCAAGTGGTGAGCTTTCCTTGAAGAAGGGCGAGGGGTGAAGGAAGGAAGAAAGAACAAAGAGAACCCAAAGAGGGGGCCAACCCAAATTCTTCTTTCCAATTCCGACGATGGGCGCCTGCACGTCCAAGCTGCGGGAAGACGGGACCTACGACCCGAGCCCGTTCACGCTCATGGTTGCAACGTCGAGCAGAACCAAATACGTCAAGCAGGATCACGATGGGAAGGTCTATGCCGGCACGAAGCCGATCCTGGTCGTGTGCACCGATGAAGGGCATCTGGAGATGGCGAACGGGAAGGTCTTCAACACGGGAAACCACCCGGTCGAGATGTTTGTGCCGATGCTCCACTTTAAAGACGTGGGCTTCACGTTCGACATTGCAACTGCTCGCGGAAAACCTGTGGTGCTCGAGATGTGGGCGTATCCGAACAAGGACGAGAGCGTGAAGGCGCTGTATGAGGAGGTGAACGTCTGCACCATCCCGGCAATGTGCTGGACGGCATCCCTAAGCTCTTAAGGACTTGCTTGCTTGCTTAGGTGAAGGCCATGCTTGAGAAGCCGAAGAAGATTGAGGATATTGTCAACCTCGACGGGTACGCGGCGGTCTTTATCCCCGGCGGGCACGGGTGCATGGTCAACCTGCCGGCATGCCAGCCGCTCGGCAAGCTGCTGAACCAGGCGCACGCTCGGGCGCTTCCGACTGTGACGCTCTGCCACGGACCATGCGCGCTCCTGGCGACGTGCGCCGAGACGAGCGGCGAGGCGCAGTGCACGTACGCGGGGTACAAGACGATGTGCTTTACGGACAAGACGGACGCCTTCACGCCGTCTATTGGCTACCTGCCCGGTCCGATGCCGTGGAAGGTGGAGGAGTGCCTCGTGGCCAAGGGCGTGGAGGTGCTCAACAAGTCGGAGACCGGCGCGGTGACGCAGGACCGCGAGCTCATCACCGGCGACAGCCCCGACGCGGCTCACAACCTCGGCGTGCTGGCGGCCCCGCTCTTGGTGCAGTACGCTACGGAGCACGGGCTGTAGAGGCGCCTGAGTGAGACGGTTCGTGTCCATTTTAATTAATAAGTGTAAAAAGAAAGAAAGAAAGAAAACACACAACCCAAGGGAGGGATGGGAGAACGGCACGCCGCCACCACACAGGGATTTTAAGGAGAGGAGAGTGTGATGCGCTAGCCGTCGCCCACCCTGGGGAGTCTGCCTCTTCGTATCTCTTTTCGCAGTCTCTCGCCGCTTCTCGCTGCAACCTTCATGCCACCTCGCGGCCGTCCCACTCTCGTCGTTCTCTCCCTTGTCACTTCCTCTGGTGTAAAGAAAGAAAGAAAGAAAACACACAACCCAAGGGAGGGATGGGAGAACGGCACGCCGCCACCACACAGGGATTCCTCTGGTGTAAAAGAAAGAAAGAAAACACACAACCCAAGGGAGGGATGGGAGAACGGCACGCCGCCACCACACAGGGATTTTAAGGAGAGGAGTGTGGTGCGCTAGCCGTCGCCCACCCTGGGGAGTCTGCCTCTTCGTATCTCTTTTCGCAGTCTCTCGCCGCTTCTCGCTGCAACCTTCATGCCACCTCGCGGCCGTCCCACTCTCGTCGGTCTCTCCCTTGTCACTTCCTCCTCTGTCGCGTCGTTCTCTTCTGCCTCGTCCTGCGACGCCGCCGCCTGCCGGTCCCTTGTTCTCGCGGCTTCTTTCGCCTTGCGCAACTCCGTCCTCCTCGCGGCGTATCCTGGCCCCTCGAGTCTATCAAGCTCCCCTGGTGTACTGTTAGTTAAAAAGTTGGCGTGAATTCTTTGTTGGTGCTTGGCTTGCAATGAGTCGCATGGACGAGCAACGCCGTCTCGCCGCGCCGGCGCTCGCAGCCGGGAAGACGCACACCGCCTCGTTTGCTCACCGTCCAACCGGGTGGCGGGTGCGCTGCCACCGGGCTCCGATGCTGAAGAACTCGGAGCTCTCGGCGAGCGCCTACTCGCAGGGCGCGTGGCGGCGTGAGCTGGGCCTCACACTCTACGCGGGGCAGCACCTGCCGGGCCAGCTGTACGGCGGCAACAGCCTCGAGCTCTACCACCCGGCCTCTGGCGTCCGCATCAGCTTCTGCGCGCTCGAGGCGCTTCGCTCGTGGGCCGGCCTCGACTGCGCGCCCGTGCCGCACCTCTCGCCCAGCGCGCCGCTGCCAGCGTGGGACTACACCTTCACGACCGCCTACCCGGGCGCCGTCGCCGTCGCGCCGCCGGGCGCGGGAGTGCCCTCACAGCCCGACGGCACCACCTTCTACGCTCGTGCCGCCGTCGACCTCGCCGACGGTCCCGCCAGGCTGAGGCGGCCGCTGTGCAAGTGCCGCGGCGCGAGCGGCCGGCCGCCGCTCGTGCCGGTCTCCGACCCTCACCCGCTCGCCGACTGCGAGCCAGCGCCGCCGAGTCCGCCGCCTCCCCCGCGCTGGAGGCGCGCTGCCGAAGAGCTCGACCTCGCGTCGCTGCTGCGTGGGCGCGTCTCGAGGGCAGCGGAGACTCCGCACGTGCCGTCCGCCCGGCGAGCTCCGCCTCTCCGCCCGCCGTAGGCGAGGTGACGCGCCTCCCGAGTTTTGTGACTCGGTCGACTTGTGGGAGGAGCGAGACACTTCCTAGACGCTTCCCAGACACGTCCTAGACACGTCCTTGACACGTCCGAAACAGCGACTCGGCTTGCTTGGGGTGCAGAGCCGCCGCTTGCGGCTCACGCCTCGGGGCCTCCTGCTCCAGGACAACCTCGACCCGCAGTCGAGGTCCACCCTGCGCGTGCGAGTGGTCTGCACCGGCAGCCTCCTGCTCGCCTCGCTCCGCTGCTTTGTGCGCGTCAACGGCGTGGCCGCGAGAGTAGTGGACACGCGGTACCTGCTGCGGCCGGATTCGGTCCTCCGCGCCCGCTCCTGGAGGGAGGGGCGCTGGGCGGAGCTCGCTGGCGAGGGCGCGCCGTCCCACGTCGACCTCGGCCCAGACGAGGACAGCCTCGCCGCCGCGCGCCTGCCAGTCGTCCGCCCGCCGCTGACCGAGCTGCTCCGCCTTCCGACGGCGGCTCGGCCGGGCCGAGGCGGGGAAGGAGGCGGGGAAGGAGGCGGCGGAGGACGCGGAGGACGCGGCCGCGGGCTCGGAGGCGCCGCCCTCGAGCCTCGCTGGCGGCGCGCGTTTGGCGGGGAGCTGGAGGGCGTGAGTGTGGACGGCACGCGGGTGGTGGTCGCGCACTCGGAGGGCGGGGTGGAGCGGCTCGAGCTGTCCGGCGGGGGGCGGCTCTGGCTCTCTGCGCTGCGCCACGGGGCGGCTGCCGCCGCCGTGGCCCTGTCTCCTTCGGAGGCGGACGGCGGTCGGCTGGCGGTCGGCGGGCGGGGCGGCGAGGTTGAGGTGTGGAGGGCGGAGAGCGGCGACCTGCTCGCGTCGGTGAGCGTGGTGCCGGCTGGGCCGCGCCGCGCTGTCGCTGTGTCCAATTGGGTCGAGTGGCTCTCGTGGCGCGGCGACGGCGGCGCGCTCGGCTGCGCTGCGGGTCGCTGCGTGGCTCTGCTGTCCTCAGGCGGCGAGGTGGTCGCGCGCCGCGAGGCGAGCGGCCAGGTCGCCGCGCTCGCTTTCGTGGCGGGCGAGTTTAAGCGGGTGGACGAGGCGGCCGAGGCCGGGGCGGGCTGGCGGGGGAGGCTAGCGGTCGGCACGTACGGTGGCGTCGAGTGGCTCTGCGCGGGCGGTGCGCCGGCCGAGTCCCTCGCGCTCGGCGGCGGTGCGGTGCGCCGCTCTCGCCGCAGCACACCTTGTTCCTTCTACGACCCTCCCTCTCTACCTTCTGGGAGCCTTCCCGTGAGGTGCGCTGCCTCGCCGTTTCGCCGAGCGGCGGCCACCTTGCCGCCGGGTGCCTCGACAAGCGGGTGCGCGTCTTCCGGCGCCCCAGCGCCCCCTCGCGGGCAGCCACTTTGGACGGCGGCGGCGGCGGCGCGGCGGCATCGGCAGAGGGCGCACCGCCAGGAGAGGCGCGGGGTGCGTGGGCAAGGGTGGCGCCGTGGGCGGTCGCACCGGCGCGCGGGCAGGGAGGGTGCGGGCACCATTCGGCTGCAGCTCTCGCGACACCTGCGCGGCACTGCGTCTCCAGGCGCACGACTGGATCGGGTTCGACGGGCCGGTGAGGCTGGTGGCGTGGAGCGGAGACGGGGTGCGCGGCCGAAGTACCCCCACCTCTCCTCTACGCACACGTCTTCTTTCTGCACCCCCGCCGCCTAGCCCACCGCTTCTGCCCCCCCTCCCCCCCCCCCCCAGGCGTGGCTCGCCGCTGTGGGAGGCAGCCAGCTCCTCGCGGTGCCTACCGCCCTTCCCGCCGGCGAGTCGCCCGTCCTCTGCTGCAGCGGCCGCGTCGAGGCGCTGGTGTGGGGCCCGGCTCGCCACCCCGCACACTGGCTGCTCGCGACGCTCGAGACTAGCGCGGCGCGCGTGTACGACATGCGCCTCGCCGACGGCGCCGCGCCACGCCGCGTCGCGCCGGTCGCGGCGGTGAGTCTGCCCGGGCTCGACCCGCGCGGTGCGTCGCCCTCGATATCGTTCGGCGTCATGGCGGGCGGCGAGGACACGCCACAGCGGTCCTTGGAGTCGGATGGCTCGGAGCTTCTCCTCGTGGTGACACGAGGGAGCGGCTTGGAAGCTGTGTGCTTGACTTGTGGGACGACGGAGGGCAGCTTTTCACATTAGCGCTGGACATTGGCGATTCCGCGACTTACTGGGCCCCTGAGCCGCTACCCGTGTGCAATTTTTGTGGCCCGGACATGATACTGATAGTAAACGGGTGAGAACCGGCTAAACACAGGCTACAGCCCCACACACGCGCCCGCCATAGCTCCTGGAGAGCATGCAGCATGCGCGAGACCGAGTGACGCGCTGCAAGCCGCGAGAGTGGCATCAGAGGCAGGAACGACGTGCTCTTGCTGCACCTCGCAGCTGCACCGAGTGTGCTCGCAGTGTATTCTACGGCCACCGCCTGCGGCATTGCTCTCGTGCAGTTGGCGACGCAGATCCATCAGCAGGGCTCATCCAATGCGAGCGCACATTGTGCGTAGCCGCGGGCAGGTGGCAGTGCACGGCCACACCGGCTGTGGCCGCTCGTATGCCCCCGGCAGTGCTGCTAGTCATTAACTTGCGTATTAGGGCCGCAGCAGACTGCTGCTGTGGCAGCAGCAGCAGCCTGCTGCTGCCTGATTCAGTCAAGCCAGCGGCGCAGCGAGGCGTGCAGAATTCGCGTGGTTTTGTCCCTCCTGTGTCCTGAGGCTGAGCGCATTCGAGCCCGTCGACCGGAGTTGGATGGTACCACGCGTCTCACTGAGACGCGGGGTACTGGCCATGGCCGGACGGCCGAGCGTGAGGTGGCGAGCGGAGCGAGCGACAAAACAACGAGAAAAACACGGATCTGACGCGATGTCACAGATCTGCCAGCGCCGGCATCATCCGTGAAGGCACAAGTGTTCGAAGAGAGAGTGGACCTGAGCAATGATATGACTGGGCGGCAAATGATCGCAGTGGGCGTCAGAAGACTCCTCCTTGCGCGAGGAGGGAGAGCTCGATAGATAGACTCGAGGAGCCAGGATATGCAGCGAGGAGGGCGGAGCTGCGCCGAAAGGCGCAAGAAGCCGCGAGAACAAGGGACCGGCAGGCGGCGGCGGCGTCGCAGGACGAGGCAGAAGAGAACGACGCGACAGAGGAGGAAATGACAAGGGAGAGAACGACGAGAGTGGGACGACCGCGAGGTGGCATGAAGGTTGCAGCGAGAATCGGCGAGAGACTGCGAAGAGAGATAGGAAGAGGCGGACGCCCAAGGGTTAGGGTGGGCGACGGCTAGCGCATCACACCCCTCTCCTTAAAATCCCTGTGTGGTGGCGGCGTGCCGTCCTCCCATCCCTCCCTTGGGTGTCCGTTTTCTTTCTTTCTTTTAGAACGTCAGATCTGCCTCACCCTGGGCTGGACCTAGTCAGTTAACAACAGAACAACAGTGGGGTTCCCCAACAACAGTAGCTAACGTTAGGCCGGCTGAACAACAATAAGGCTGCAATAAGGAAGGCCTACCAGTGACCCACGACGGGATCTCCAGCGTCCAGTGCGGGTAATATCCGAGAAAATACCTGCAACCTGGGACCCCCCCCCCCAGCGCCCAGGTCTCGAGCCCCAGGTTTTTCGGGGTTTACCCGGGGTTTTTGGCATTTGCTTGCTGACCGCGCTGAACGGCAACAGTAACAACAGTAACAAAACAGTAGCAGCTTGGGCTGGGGTGAACACTTGAACAACGTTAAGGATTTCAGCACATGCACATGTGCATGCACATGTACATGTCATGTTGTTGTTGTTGTGCATGTGACATGTACAACAACAACAACAACATGTACATGTACATGTGCATGTCCATGCACATGTGCATGTTCATGGTGTGACGTGCTTCGCAGGGAGTCGTATGTTGTTAATCCGATATGTCCCCACATGCACAACCCCCGACGCCGCTGCCTCATTCGAGGGAAAGGAACGCGTTTCGCACCCCAGCCACCATGCCCGCCACGCCGGTCAGAACTAGCAGAGCGTTGAGGGAGAGGGAGCGCCACCCGAGCGACCGGCCGTGCGCGCCGACGTAGAGGAGCGGGGGGGCGATGAACGAGATTAGCATGGTCGTGAAGGAGCCGATGAGCGCGATGACAAATGGGAAGTTGGGGATGGAGGCCGCCAGCAGCCCGGCGGCGGCGAGGAGGAGGAGGCGGCCCACGAGGCTGTCGAGGCTGACGCAGGGGCTGCTCCCTTTACTGTCCGGCTCCAGCGGCCAGTCGACGCCCTCCTTGCCGTTGTCGCTGGCGCGGTAGTCGGGACTGGCTCGCCGGCTGTAGAACTGGATCTCGGAGAGGATGCGGTACACGACGTAGAACTGGATCGGGATGATAGTGAAGGTGGAGACGAGGACGGAGACGGCGGCGGCGCGGCCGACGGCGGAGTTCGCGTGCATGAGGTTGAATGTGACGGCGCCGGCGGAGCACGAGCCAAAGGACGAGTAGCCCGCCGCGGCGAAGAGGAGGTACGCGACGCCGGCGATGGCGAAGCCTCTGTCGAAGGCGGAGCTGAAGTGCGCCCTCTCACTCGCCGGCATCTGCTGATAGAGGTCGGGGAAGGTGGAGTGGCCCGCGAAGCAGAAGAGGACTACGCCGACGCTGACGCCCAGGCCCTGCGGGTTGAAGACGTCGTGGCGCATGGCCGCTGTGCCGCCGCCGTCGCCGAGGGCGGGGCACGGGCTGCCCTCCTCGACGGGGCTGCCCTCCTCGACGAGTGGCGTGACCAGGGCGGCGGAGAAGAGGACGAGCGACGCGAAGAGGCCGACCGGCGCGAAGACCGACAGGTGCGCAGGCCGCAGCAGCGTTGTCGGTGCCACCGCCAGGCAGAGCGCGACGGCAACAAGGACCTTGCTGTCGCTGGGAAGCAGCCCCGCCAAGACGACCGGCCAGCTCGAGATGTGCAGCACAATGAAGGAGACCATCGCACCGAAGCACTCGACCACGAGCAGGAGGCGCACGGCCGCTCCGGCGAGCGGCCCACCGACGGCGGTCGCGAGCTCATCGTACGAGCGGACGGGCCGACCCTCGCCCGAGAGAGCCCACCGCTCGTTGACCGTGTCGAAGGACCAGATGAGCTGCTTTGCCGTCGTGCAGGTGGCGAGAGTCGCGGCGACAATGATCAGCAGCCCGCCCCAGCCGGACTGGCCCATTGCGTACGGGAGACCCAGCAGCCCCGCACCGATCAGGACGCCGGCCACGGAGAGCGAGAACTGGTTTGCCGTCGGGCCGCCGCCGTCGAGCGGCGCGGGAGCAGAGCCGGAGCCGGAGCGCAGCCGTGCCGCCGCCGCCGCCCGCCAGCCGTGAGATAGATCGGCGGCACCGAGGGCGGCGTAGCTGCCGCTGATATCATTGGAGCGAGCGCGCCGCCGCCTCGGTTTTTCTGCCGTTTGCTGCGCTTTCTTGACGCCGAGGTGCTGGAGGGCTTCGGTGGAGAGGTTCTGCGGGAGACGCGCGAGCGGCGAGGTCTTGAGTGTGCCTCCCGAGAGCAGCAGGCTCGCCGCGGGCTGGCGGTGGCGGCCCGAGTGCAGCAGGCTCGTCTCGAGCTGCTCGCGGCGCGTTTTGTGCTCGGGCAACATCGAGCGTGATGGTCGTGGCGTAGCGTGAGAGGCAGGGATGGGATGACAGTAAGGTGCGGCTAGCTTCAGTGGGTGCGCTGTGATGAAGGCACGTGTCGTTTGCCGACAATTTTACTTTTTTCTTCTTTTCAAAACGGACCTGCAGAGCCACACCAAATTCCTTTGCTTTTTTCCTTCTCCACCACACGCAGCAGATCTCCATGGCGGCGGTGGCGGGCGACGCCGAGAGGAACATCAACAAGCAGGCGCGCAAGATGCGCACCAACTGGGTCACGAACAAGAGACAAGAGAAGATGTTTCTCTCTCGAACAAGCAAACGGCGACGGACGGCTTCTTGCGCTCAGCCCCAGTGGAGGGCGCCCGTACCGCCTAGCTCCGCGGACGCCCCCCCCCACCCTTCACGTACGGATCATGTAGTTAGTCCCCACAATCGCTCGTGGGATCGCTTGCTTGTCATGTGAGAGAAAAGAAAGAAAGAAAGCAAAGAGACAAGTGGAGGGATGGGAGGACGGCACGCCGCCACCACACAGGGATTTTAAGGAGAGGAGTGTGGTGCTAGCCGTCATGGAGAGAGTGCGTTGTGTTATGAGCTATGGCTTTCTCCCACACCTGGTAGCGACGACGACCACGAGGCTCTCGCTGGATATATTATGGCAGAGAAAACCGCCTCGTCCTCCGCGATGACCGACTTAGAGCCGCGCGACACGGACTCGGTCGTCGGCGACCTCAACGAGGTTGCGATGCTCGACGACCTCCAGGTGACCGAGGAGATCGACCTCGGTCCGGACGACGTGCCGCCGCCGGACGACGAGTCGGAGCTCGGCGACGGCTCCGTCATGGGCTCAGGGGACGAGATGGAGGAGATGGCGATGGAGGACTACGGCCAGGACAAGGCGGGTGCGGCCGGCGCGTCGGCCGATGCTGCCGCGCCCAGCGAGCCGGTCGAGGACCTCAGCGTGCAGTGCCTCCGGGCGCACACCTCGGCGGTGTTTGCGGTCGCGGTGAACCCTGCCCAGCCTCACGTGTTCGCCACCGGCGGCGGCGACGACGTGGCCCACCTCTGGCGGCTCGGCTCAGAGGCGCCCGTGGCCGCGCTGCGCGGCCACACCGACTCGGTCAGCTCGGTCGGCTTCAGCGCCGACGGCTCGTACCTGGCGACGGGCGGCCTCGACGGCGCGGTGCGTGTGTGGGCGGCGGACGGCTCGCTGGTGGTGCTGCTCGAGGGCCCGACGCAGGGCATCAACTGGGTGTGCTGGCACGCGCGCGGCCACGTCCTCCTCGCGGGTAGCGAGGACGCCACCGCGTGGATGTGGAAGGTTCCCGAGGGGGCGGTGATGCAAATCTTCTCTGCGCACTCCGCGTCCGTCTCGTACGGTGGGTTCGCAAACGGCGGCCGCTCCGTCATCACCGCCTCCGAGGACGGCACCATCCGGCTGTGGAACCCTCGCGCCGGCACCGTCGAGCACTGCACGCACGCCTCCCCGCCGCACGAGCCAGAGGCGGTCACCTGCCTGGCGCCGCACCCGTCCCAAGCCGTCTACCTCTTCGGCGTCGAGTCGGGGGCCGTCAAGATGTGCACCGCACCAGCCCGCGCCGCACCCGCGCCCCCCGCCATCGCGCCTCGCCCCGCCGCCTCACCCCGCCCCTCCCTCTGCCCCAGTGCGCACGCCGAGAGCGGCAAGCTGCTCGCCTCGCTGCCCGCGCACGAGGACTCTGTCGAGGCGGCCTCCTTCTGCGAGTGCATGCCGCTCGCCGCCACCGGAGGCATGGACGGCAAGCTCTGCATCTGGGACCTCAACACCTACGGCCTGCGCCACACCTGCCTCCACGGGGCGGGCGTCATCGAGGCGGTGTGGCGGCGCGGCTCTCCGCTCGTCTTCAGCTGCACCGTCTCAAAGGAGGTGCGGCTGTGGGACGCCCGCTCCGGCGCATGCCTCAACACCCTGACCGGCCACACCGACGCGGTGCTCTGCCTGGCCGTCGGCTACCCGGAGGCGGGCGCCTACCTCGTCAGCGGCTCGGACGACAACACCGCTCGAGTCTGGGCCCTCGACGTCTGAGCGCAACGGAGAGAGTCACACATTATCGCGCGGTCAATGGTCGTTCTCTCTGAAGCAAAGAAAATGAATGGATACGCCCCGCGGTCATCCTTGTCTTGTGTGGTGTGCGCGCGCGCGCGCGCTAGGCTCTCGCGATCGCCTATGGCGCCTCCCCCGCGCCGCGGCACGCCCGAGAGCGCCGGCCGTACTCTAGGCGTAGCGCCGAGGAGGTCTCAGACCTCTTTGAATACGCCGACATCGCTGCTTGGCTGGTCGCCAGCCCCAACTTGACGTCACTCCAGCATCTCGAGGCGTGTCCGAGACTAGCACGGAAGACACGAGTGCATTGTCCTCATATGTTCATTGTTGTCCCTCTCGCGCAGGCGGCCAGGCGCTCACACCGTCCACCGCACCACCGGGTGCGGCCTGCGTATGTCCTCGTCCTTTGAGGTCTTGAAGGGGAAGGGGCTGTGTGTCTGTGCATGCATGCATGCATGTGCATGTGCGTGTGTGTGTGGTCGGCGGCGGGGGGGCGCGCGCGTGTGAGTGTGTGTGTCCCAGAGAGGGATTTTTCGCTCAGCCTGCGGGTGCGTCCGCGCGTGCACAAAAAACCATCAACCCAACGGGGCGCGCGGCGCCGGGGGCCCGCACGCCGCACTCGCGCAGTAGTGACAAGAGTGTGAGAGAGGTCAACATACAACAAGACTCAAGAGCCTCTTGGGAACGTGAAGAGCGTCAAGACTCAGTCGAGAGAGATGAGATGCAACATGCACGAGACGTCGAGAGACGCAATCGTGTTGTCTGTGACACTAGACACGTCTCGCCACAAAACGTCAGCTCCTTCGGCTGTGAGGCTGAGGAGCATATACGCGCTGTACCGATGTGCGCATCCTCCTACATCCTAGAAGTACCCTTCTCTTGACGGAGGAGATGCTGGATGCTGGATGGTGGTGGGGTCACCAGTCGAACTTCTCCGTCCGCAGCTGCACGCGGAAGTCTCGCTCGATGCCGCGCAAAGCGTCGACCACCGGCTGGCTGCCGCCACAGTAGAGCATCTGCCAGGTGGCGAGTCGCGCTTGCCCGATCCGCTCGACGAAGGATCCCTGTCTCTTCCCCTTCTCCTCGGGTTTTGGAGGCCTGGGCGCGCTTCCCGCCTGGCTAAAGCGGGATTGCGCCTGCGAGCGGCGGTCACCGACCGACGCACGCTCGTGCTTGACCTTCGTCATGATTTCTCTCTCCATCGAGCGTCGGCTCATCAGCTCGCCCGGGTGCGATGATCCCTCCCACGCGGACATCTTGGACTTCGTCGACCCTATGGAGGCCCGTGGAGCGACGCTCCGCCGCTCCGCAGCGCTCCCTCGGGAAGTCAGCGAGTTCGCCACGCGCTTCACCATGTCTTTGATCCCGTCGTCGAACGCCTCGAGGCTCAGCCGTCGCGAGAAGGAGTCGCGGTTCCCTTTGTAGGGCGACGACGACCGTTCAGACGACGTGGTGGGCAGACCGGCGGTTTTGCGGTACGGCGATGTCGATCGGCTGGACTTGACGTCCAGCACCACCTCGTCCTCTTTGACGCTGGGGAGCTCCGACCGCATCGAGGCGTGGTCGTCATGCAGCTGACTCCGCTGCTTGCGAGGAACGGAGGGCGTGGGCGGCAGCGGTGGGGGCGGCGGCGGCGCCGCCGCTCCGAGGTCGTGAATCGGCAGCGTCAGGTGGTCGCTCGTTCGCTCGTTCGCCTTTCGGATGGCGCGCTGGTAGGCGTGCACGAGCAGGTCCGCCTCGAGCTTCTCAGCATCGAGGAGCAGGTCCTCAGGCAGGCCGCCGCCCGTCTCGACGCCGACGATCATCTCTTGGACGATGTTCTGCAGGTCGGGCCGCCCGTTGAAGATCAGCACGGTCGGCGGCAGCGCGCGCGGGAGCTCGAGCTGCCGCTTGCCAGTGTAGTAAATAAGAGTCCACCCGTCCGTGCTGAACTGGCACTTGTCGAGGTAAAACTCGACGAGGGAGGCGTCGCGGCACGACCAGATGAGGTTGACGCGCCGCTTCTCCTTGTAGGTCGTGATTAGCGAGAGGGCGGGCGTGATCCCGATCCCCGACGCGACGAGGATCAGGTTATCATACTCGCCAGCCGTCGAGTAGGGCGACGCGAAGGGGCCACTGATCCACGCCGGACGGCGCGTCGGCTCCTGCACGTGAGCGTGGAGCGACTTGGTCCAGTCGCCGACCGCGGACATGCACACGCACGCGTGGTTGGGCTTGGTGCTGTGGGCGAAAAGCGAGAAGGCGTGCCACCTACGAGTACAGCGAGTGCAGTTGAATACGGTTGAGTACGCGTCTCGTCGAGCGCTGCTGTGAATACGGCGATTTGTATGCATCTAGGGCATCGACTGGTACTGCGAGATCCAGGGAAGGCAGACGAGGACGTAGCCCGCGCCTTGAAAGTGAAAGCCGGGCGGGTGCTCAAAGGTGAGCTCGACGCCGTTTTCGAGCCGGTAGAAGATGGACGTGTCGACGCGGTAGGTGCGCCAGACCGAGCCAATAAGCATGTCGGCTAGGTACATGCCGACCGGGACGCCCATCAACCAGGCGATGTCCATGAGCGGCGCATGGAAGCAGATCGTGATGCCCCACACGATGGAGAGGTAGTGCAGGCCCTTGCGCCACTCCCACGCCATGCGCTTCTTGATGTACGCCACCGACAGGGGGACCGTGATGACGGGAATCAGCACAAAGCAGAGTAGGCCGCTCACGCCCGTTTGGTGCGTGAGCAGCAGTTTGGCGTTGCCCTGCAGCGCCCAGCGGACAATGTGGCAGACCGAGTGGAGGGAGTAGTCCAGCGCTACGATGTGGCCCGCGAGGGTGTGGATCGCGTGCAGATCGTAGAATGGGATGTAGATGGAGAGGTAGGTTTGTTGCAGGAGCGTTCGCAGATGGTTTGTCTTTGAGAGGAAAAGGAGCATCATCATCGGGTAGTTGAGGTAGGCGCTCGATCGCGACACGGCGAGCAGCGCGATAGTGTACCACTCCTCCGCACACACAGTCTCGCGGGGGCATAGGCCCCATCCTCCTATGCCGTATGTGCCTCCATCTGCCGTCGAGTTGCGGTATTCCAACAGGCCGTACGGTGTCGGCGCAAAGGTGGTTATGACGATCCAGACAAAGGAGAACACGCAGCACAGCCGTACAAACAGCCCTGCGGCGGTCCAGGTGGCGAAATGATCAGCAATCGCGCCCATCGTCAGCACAAATCCGAGTCCGAGGCGACTCGCGACTGGATGAAAACGTGCGTTCGCGTCGCAGTCGTAAAAGCAGCCTGATGAAATTTCCGCTTTCTTTTTTTGCACCGCTGGCACGGGACTGGCACTGGCACTAATTCTTTTTCGTGCGGGGTAGTAGGCGTACATGACACACCTCATCAATGATTGTTTGTTGCGGGTGAATAGTCCTGTGGTCCATAGAGGCGTAGTCGCGCTGGCCCCCCTGGGACCCCGCGTGACTGTCAGAAGTCCTCCGATTCTTTTTTTCGAAGACTGAAGGGACGGCCGCCGGAGCGTTTCTTCGATTCTCGGGAATCCCCCACACCCTCCCCCCCCAGTCGGCGTACTGCCGCCCCCCGAGTGGCGGCGCCTGGCTTCATGTCTTTAGCATCCTGTGCCCGCGCAGCGCTCTTTTCAACAGCAACGGTGTCCTTGTTTGCGATCGTGTACCGCGGGCGACCTGTGGCAGTGCAAGCCCGCGAACTTCCCATCACCTTTGCTGAGCCCGCCGCGCATGGCAACGCACGACGACGAGAGAGCGGCCCTTTGGTGCACTCTGAAAATGTGTTCTTCACCCACGGGCCACAGGGAGCCTCGTCGTCATTTCGCACGTGACTCCTCATCGCGTGAAATACCGCTGGCGGCTGGGGCTGCTCACGGATCGTGCAAACCCCTCGCACAACAAGCGCGCGAGCCGGGGGACGTGGTCTTGGAGACGTGCGTGCGTCAACACCGCGTTCAAAGAGAAGCTTGGGACCTTGGCGTCGTCCCCCCACATCTTAGTGTACGTGTGTCGTCTCTGACTCTCGGTACAAGGTCCCCAAGTCGTGCATCTTGTGGTGAGTGAGCAGTCATTACACTTTTTATGCTGTGAGTCTAGCGCGATCGGCCCGGCTTGCTTAAGTTTGAGTTTTGATGTCGATCTCTCGAGGGGCCAAACACAAGCACAATCGCGCCTCCAAACTTTTTACGCAGTGATCACTGCGACCCACCATCACCGATCGCGGTACACTTCTCGGAGCTAGCGGGTGCGGTGAGGGATCGCGCAAAACTGTCGCCGTACCTCTCAAGCAGCCATAGTGCCACGCCGTTTGTCCATCCAAAGCCCACCTGGGGCGTGTATTCGCCGCCGCCGCCACTCTCGCCCGGCCGTGTCGCGTCGTACTTTTCGCGCATCACGCCGTCGCGCGCCCAGCCGCGGTGGTTCGAGCGGAGCCAGCGCAGCGCGAGGTCCTCGGCGAGCTCCGCTGCGCCGTCTGCTTCGCAGCCCGCCAGGCCCTCGACCAGCATCTGCTGCAGGGGCGGCCACGCGTTTGGCCAGTCCCACTGCTCGCCTATTCACAGCTGAAGCCGTGAAGCGGTGCTGCTCCGAAGCCACGCGGCTGGCCCGCCCCACTGCTCGCCGCTCTCCACGAGCGTCGTCGCCACGCCGCCCTCCTGCACCAGCCCGCTGCGCCGCAGCGACTGCACCGCCGCCGCCTCGCGCTCAGCAGAGTGCTGGCAGGCCCACAGCGGAGTGAAGGAGGCCGCAGAGACCTGCTGCAGCTGCCCCCGCCCCTCCCACTCCACGTCGTGCCACCGCCCCGTCTCGCCGCTCCACATCCACTCGTCCATCGCCTACTCCAACCTCGCACAGCTCTGCGGCAACCACACCACGCGCACCGCAGCGCCTCCCGACCACCGCCTGGCGCCGCGCGCTCGCCGCGCGAGCATATCGCCGCGCCGCCACCTCCGCCGCCTCGACCGCCTCGGACACCTCCCCGTCCTCCTCCCCCCCCCCTTCCCCCTCCCCGGACACCTCCCCGGCCTGCCTCGCGAGCAGGAGAGCCAGCCTCGCGTGCAGCCGCTGCAGCGTCAGCTCGTTGCGCAGCCTACAGGGCGGGGCGCGCCGCTCGGAAGGGTGTCGCCGCGGCGGCCGTCCCTCCGCGTCTCCTCTGCACAGGATCGCGTTCAGCTCGACGGGCAGCACCTGCGGCGCGGAGGGGCGAGCCTCTCGCGAGGTCTCTCGCGAGGGGCGGGCGCAGATCCGCCACTCGTCAGCACTCGCCGCTCGGCTCGACGCACCGCAGCGGTGCGGAGCGACCTCAGCGGCTCCTCCTCCGCCTTGCCGCAGCCCTCCCCGCCGCCCTCTCCGCCCAGCTCTCCGCCCAGGAAGCGAGACGAGAAGTCCCAGCCCGACTCTGCGCACGCCGCCAGCTCGGACCACGCCCGCGCCTGTGCCGCCGGAGGCAAGCCCGCCGCGGTGGCCTCGTCCTCGCGCCACGACTCGGGCCTACGGACCACACAGACCACAGCCACCGGCACGTCGCGCACGTGTCGCGGAGCCTCGCCCCCGCGACACGGCTCCGCAGGCCGGGGCGCGGAGGCGGCGACAACGTAGCGGTTGAGCAGCGCCTCGGCGTTAATTAGAGATTAATTAAACTCTAATTAGAGATTAATTAATCGTAGCGGTTGAGCAGCGCCTCGGCTCGCACGCCGTCCGCCTCGAGCCGGACCGCGCTGCGGCCGTCGCCGGTGCGCATCCACCACCCGTACTCCGCGTCGAGCGCCGGCAGCGCCTCGCGGAGAAGCCGCAGCGCCGGAGCGGCCCCCTCCCTCTCTGCTCCCTCCCTCTCTGCTCCCTCCCTCTCTCTCTCGGGCGGCGCGTCGAGGCGGGCGAGGAGGGCGGCGACCATCTGGGTGAGGAGGGGAGGCTGGGAGCGGTTGAGGTAGTACTTGCGCAGCCCGTTTGGGACGAAGCCGTGCCTCGCCACGCACTCAAGCAGGTTGCTGACCAGGCCGCGCGCCGTCGCGTCCATGTCCACAGCGAGCAGTCCGAGCACCACCCAGTACGAGTCCCAGTAGTACGCCTCTCGGAAGCGGCCGCCGGGGACGATGACGCCGTGCGACAGCTCGAGCAGCGTGTGCCTGTCCGGCCGGCGCGCCGCCTCTGCGGAGAGCCGTCGGCCGAGCAGCGGCCACAGCCCGTTGACCGCCGACGCCCACTCGCGCACGGCGCCGGCCGGCAGCCTCGAGAGGAGCGCCGGCGCAGGCTGGTGGTCCTCTGGCCACCACGGCTCGAGCTGGCCCTCGCCCGGCTCCGCCGAGAAGACGGAGGCCACGAAGCGTCGCAGCTGCTCCTCCGACGGCGGCTGCGATAGCTCCTCCCAGCGGCGCCAGCACTCGGCAGGCGGCACCAGCAGAGAGAGGTCGACAAAGGTCTTGCAGTCGGGAAAGATGCTGGCGGCCTGCACGGCGGCGAGGATGGGGCCGGAGAGGAAGGGGTCCGGCCGGCACATCAAAGAGATATACTGTGCTGCATGAATGGTTGGGCAAGTGTGAACAGCAGCTCGTGTCCACGGCGCCGCAGGCGCCTGTTGATGGGTCCAGGTGATAGCCCTGGATAGGCAATGCATACGCCTAGTTGGGCCTCAGATCGCCCGACCGCGTCCCGGTGCTCTGTGGTCGGATTTGTGACGCCGCCGCACCGCGCCGCGGCCGGGGGCCCTCCGGAGGCCGAGGATGGCCGTGGCGGACCGGGACGAGCTCTGGGAGGTTCAGTGTCAGTGTATACATTGTAGAGACTGACCATGTGCACAATATCTCTCAGTCTAGCTAAGCCAGGGGAGGCGATTCCGGGGCCGTACAGCAGCTTGATGCATGATGGTGCTTCGCCGGCGTGCGTCCCGGAGCGGTCCCGGTTGGGCGGTCCGGGGGAGAAAACTCAGGACAACGCCGACACCGCTCTGATTCGACTTTTTACTTCAAACAAAGACAGTCGCACGCGCCACAGCGCGGCGCGTGCGACTGTCAGGAGCGGATCCGTCAGTTAGTTGTATTCACGCCGGGATCGTGTCCTGAGTAACTTGCCCAACCATTCCTCCAGCAGAGTATCAACAGCGAGCTGCTCCTCCTGCTGCCGCCGCTCCGCTCACCGAGACAACTCGGTGCCGCCTGCCGCCGTTCTCGCCGCCGCCGCCGCGCTGCCGCCTCGCGCCTTGCCTCCGTCACCGCCGCCCTCCATCTCGCAGCGGCGCGTCCCTCTGATGGCGCGGGCTCCTCGATGCGGGCTCCTCGCTCGTTGGCGCCTCGCCGCCGCCCCCCCTCTCGCCGCCGCTCCGCTCGTGGCCGCCCCATCCCCTGTCAATCCCGCCGCCTCCCCTGTCAATCCCCCCCACCCACCGCCGCCACCGCCTCGCGCGTTTAGCGGGCCTTTAAGCTTAGGAATCCTAAATAGAGGACAGCCTATAAAGAAAAGAAACGCAACGTCGAAGATGCCACCTTATCAACCAGAAAAATAGGCCCGCGCGTGCTGCGCGGGCCCGGCGAGCGACTAGCGAGCCAACCTGCTAGTGGTGAGAAATACACGTTCGTTAGATTGAAGCTTGCGCCCTCGTGGAGAAGAATTTCGAGGTCCCGCCATTGTTTTGTGAAGAGAAAAAAAGAGAGCGATGTGCCATGCGTACATAACATCGAAGGCTATAAGCTCAGAAAAAAGCTACATGTCGATATGCGCTTACCCCGCCGCGCGCTGCTGTCCCACTCGCTCAGCAACTCGCTCAGCCTCGTCGCGCTCTTCGGCAGCGCGCGTGTGCAGCGAGACGGGATAGCCTTCGCCGCAGAGCCTTCGCCGGAGGCCGTCGCGGGGGCAAAGGGCGCGTTCGCCGCGTTCGACCAGCGCGACCTGCCGCTCGCAGACCGCCTCTTTACGCAGACGATCGAGGAGTGGCGACGGCTGGACCGCGGCGTGGAGGAGATCACCAGCCTGCTCGTGGCGCGCGCGGGCGTGCGGACAGATAACCGAGAGTTCTCGGCCGCCAAGGCCGACCTCGACGAGGCCATCGCCCTAATGAGACCGACGGGCGAGAAGAGCAACGGGCTCGGCGCGTACCGCGAGTACCCGGACGCATTCGTGCAGCGCGGCCTCGCCAACGAGGGGCTGCGAGACTGGCGTGGCGCCCTGAGCGACTACGACAAGGCGGTGAGCCTGTGGGGCGGAGCGGGCGACGGAGTCAACCCCTACACGCTGACCTACAGGGCGCGCGCCAGGGCAGAGGTCGGCGACTACGAGGGCGCGCTCTCCGACTACCGCGGCGCGTCCTCCATCTTTTCCCGCGTGGACAAGAACGTGGAGCAGTCGTCCTTCGCGCGGGCGGGCGAGGCCGTGACGCTCTACGCGCTCGACCGGCGCGACGAGGCGGTGAGGGTGGCGAGGCAGGTCGTCACCCGCTTCCCGGGCCTGACGGACCTGCACGTCCTGCTCGCCGCGGACGCGTGGGACCGGGGCGATCGCGAGAAGGCGATCAAGGAGTGGTCGTTCGCTTGCGACGCGATCTCGACGGGGTGCGCAAAGTATCGCGACGTCAAGGAGGGCGGCTGGCTGGTGGAGGTCAGGCGGTGGCCCGCTCCGCTCGTGCAGAGGCAGCGCACCTTCCTAGAGGAGTCGCAGGGCGGGGTGATTATGGGGGCGCGCCGCAGGTAGCTGAGCGGGAGTGCGTATATGTAAGGCTATAGGGGTACTAACCTCACCCCCCCCACCGCCCACTCATGTGCGTTTGGTCGTCCGGGGGTAGTGGAGTATCATCGCGCTGCCCTGGAATTTCTGTTTTCCTTGTCGGTCGCTCCGGCTCTCTGATGGAGAAAAGAAAGGTGTACCGCGCCCGAGTGGCGGCGGTAGCAGCCCAGCGAGGACGAGGAGACCCGTATATGGACTGACCGCACAATGCTGTCAGTCCATGACGCGCGGCGCGCCGCGCGGGCAGGCGAAGTGGCAGCGCTCGAGCGACCGGCGCTCTGGCGCCGGGCGGCACGGCGCGCCGTCCGCCTCCGGCCTGGCCGCTACGGAGAGCGGCTGCGTGCAGCACGCGAGGGCGCTTGCCCGCCTTCGGTGGCCAAGCAGATCGAAAAGGACCTGCACCGCACCTTCGGCTCGGTGAGCGCGCACTCGCCCGCGAGGATACATGCATGACCGCGGCTCGCTGCGGCGTGGACTCAGTCCGCCTCCGGACAGGTGCACGTGCGCGGCGTCCGGGTGCCGCAGGCGGAGGCGCTCAGCTCGCTCCGCAACGTGCTGCTCGCTTACGCGTCGCACAACCCTCGCGTCGGCTACTGCCAGTCGATGAACTTCGTGGCTGCGGTGCTGCTGCTGGTGGTGGACGAGGAGACGGCCTTCGCGTGCCTCGCGACGGTGGTGGAGCGGGTGCTGCAGGGCCACTTCGCCGACGACATGGCGATGAGCCTCGTCGACGGGTCCGTGCTGCGCGGCCTCCTCTCCGCCAAAGATCCGCAGCTGATGCGACACCTCGAGGAGATGCAGGCGCGGCGAACCCGAATCTGCAATGAACCCGAATCTGCAATGTAGCATTCCCATTCGACACCTCGAAGCGATGCAAGCGTAGCGACCACCAGCCCCGACCCTGGCCCTGGCCGCCTCCGCTGAGGAGCGCACCTCGGGGCGGTGCAGGTGGCGCCTTCCCTCGTGACGGCGCAGTGGTTGCTCACCTGCTTCGTCGCGAGCGCCATGCCGCTGAGTGCGCTGCTGCGCGTGTGGGACTGTCTCTTCCTCGAGGCGGGCGTGCTCGGAGTCAGAGGGAGAGGCACCAGTCGTGGTCGAGAGCAAGTGTTTGACTGTACTGCATCTCCCTCTAGGGCGACGCCGCCCTCCCCTTCCTCCTCCGCCTCTGCGCCGCGCTCTTCCTCTCGCGCAGAGACGAGCTGCTCGCGGCACGAGATGCGCCGAGATGCGCCGAGATGCGCCGAGATGCGCCGAGATGCGCCGAGATGCGCGCCTCCCCCTAGCGCAGAGTCGCCACGCGCACCACGTGTGCATGGCTCGCAGGCGCACGACCCGGGTGAGGTGTACTTGCTGCTCATGCAGTCGGGCGCCTCTGTCGGCTCGGCGGTTCCCCTCCTCGCCGCCGCCTACGCGCTCCCGTGGGACGCGCCGCTGCTGCCGCACGCACTCGCACAGCTGCGCACCTCGCACGCGCGCTGCACACGCCCCGCCTCCCCTCCGCCGCGGGGCGGCGGCTGACGGCCCCGCACGCTGCTGCCGCTCTAGGCCGCCACCCTCGTCGCGGACGGCGCGCCGGAAGCGCTCGTGCTCGCCGCGCAGGCGGCTGCGGAGGGGGCGGGGGACGCGGCGGCGCTCGAGGAGGCGGAGGAGGGCGATGCGGAGGAGGGGGCGAGGGGCGAGGTGGACGGCGAGGGGGGCGGCGGTCCGAGCTGGTGCGGCTGGGGCGGCTGCCCGCTCGGCGAGGGCGGGGGAGGGGACGGGTGCGTTGGTGACGGGTGCATCGAGGGCGGCTGGACGCTGGTGGTTCGGCCGCGGGTCGGGGAGGGGGAGGGGGGGGCGCTTGAGGGCCCGCTCCTCGAGGGGCGACTGCACGCCTCCTCCGCCGAGCCCGAGCCCTCGGCGGGAGGGGAGGGAGGAGGGGCGGGAGGGGTCGCGGCGTCCCTCCCTTTGCTCGACCTTTGCTCGACGTCTCCCGGACGTGTGTTTGAGCCGAGCTGTAGGCGGGAGGGGACGCGTGGTCGCTCGTCGACCGCGACTGCCTCGGCGGCAGCGGCTGGCCGCGCTCGTCGCTCTCCTTCGTCATCCTGCAGCTCGAGACGCCATCCTTCGTCGAGTCGTACTTCAAGCAGCAGGAGCAGCAGCAGCAGCCCAGCGAGAGCCACGCCGCGGCGGCCCCGACGCCGCGTGGTGCAGCGGAGGCGGGCGGCGGGAAGGAGTGGCTCCGGCGAGGCTCCATCGTGCAGCGGGTGATGGCCCGCCTCGACTCCCTCTCGGCCTCGCTGCTCGCAGCCTCGCCGAGAGCTGACGGAGAGGGCTGAGCGCGCTTTGGGTGTACGGCTTTACGCTTGAGTGTACGGGAGAGGTGAGGCGCGCGGTACGGTAACTTGGCCGTTGGGAAGGCGCGGAATGTGCGCGGATGTCAGTGTGTGGTTTTGACGTATTGACGATGTGTTCTCTCTGTTGGGCGTGCGACATAGACAACAGCACGCAGGTTTCACGGTGGTTCACCTCTCCCCAGTTGCCCACAGACCCCCCACCCCCCTGCCCCAGGAGCGGCCGCACACTGCTCGGTACCCCCCCCTGCACCAAGCTGCAGAACATGTGCGAGCCAGCGCCTACGCCGCTCAAGGAGTCAGGCGCGGAGCGCCGCGCGCGGAGCGCGCCCCGAAGAAAATTTTGAGGGTTGAGGAGGGGGGCTAGGGCGTAGGGGTGCGATTTCTATTTTAAGAGTTGACTCACACGCTAGGAACCACTCGGCCCACCCACAGGCCCAATCTCAAGTGGCGGCGCTCCGCGCCTGTGCAGCGGCGCGCTCCTCGCGTGTTCTGCAGCGGCGCGCTCCGCGCGTGTCTCTGGGCGCTACATGCGGCCGTCGCCGTGCCCTTCATCAACCGTGCGCTCGAGAACTGGGGCGGGCTCAACTGGGAAGACCGCTTTCACCACAACGACAGGTCACATGCACAGAGGGGCGGCATTGGAGCTTCGCTGCAGCGGGGTGTGGTCATGACGCGGAAGAAGGCAGAGACACAGCGTCTGCCAGACGCGTGCTACGACGTCAGGCCAGCTTCGAAGCAGCGTGGCCACAACTGACTGCAACAGACTGTCTTCATGTGTCTAGACTCGCCGGTACCGCGGTGCGCTCCGCGCACATAGGTGCCAGCGCGCTCCGCGCGGTATCTAGCCAGCGCGCTCCGCACGTGTGTCTAGCTAGCGCGCTTCCGCGCGTGTGTCCAGCTAGCGCTTCCGCGCGTGTGTCCAGCTAGCGCGCTCCGCGCGTGTGTCCGGGTAGCACCAGCGCGCTCCGCGCGCACGATAATCCAGTGCCTACACTTGTAGGCACTGAAAGCTTGTTTCTGCAGCTTGGCCCCTGCACACCTAAGCCCATGGCCGACCCCCCCCCCACAGCAGCAGCGCTCTGCCTGTGGGGGGTGCTGGCATCTCTGTACAGACAGCAGCTGTAAGTAGCATGCGTTCGAGTTGCGAGAATTTATGGTCGGCATGGGCATCAAAATCAGTGGTCTCACCGGCGGGGCCTCCTACTGCCAACCGGGCGGTGCGGGGCACGCCAGCCTCTCTTCTACGCCTCTCGTGCCTCGCGGCGCCTCTGCTTCAAGGAGGGAAGATACGGCTCTCGCAGCCCATCATACGCCGTGGCGGACCTGACAGTTTTGCCGCGACGGGCGCGCGCGCGTTTTCGAAAAAAGGAAAGGACGCGGGGATGACAACTCAGTCAATCGATTTGCGATAAGCGAGCGATCCGAGGATCGAGCGGGTGGGCGATAGGCTAGGGAGATCAGCGCTGATCGATCAACACGTCAGCGAGACGCCCGAGTGAGTGGCTCACTATACGCGCCTATGTGTGGTAGTACAAGAGATAGACTCACCATGGTCACAAGTCTTTAGTAAAACGTCAGCACTCGACACGACGAAGGTGTATTGGGCTCGAAGGCGCGGTGAACACAACCGCCTCGAGCGTACCGCTCAAACACGAGCCGAGGGGGCGGGAGCGGGGGGGCGGCGGGAGGCGGGAGCTGGGTCCAGTGCGCTCTGCTGCTGGGGGGGGACCCCCCCCCCCCAGCAGCAGCGCTCTGCTGCTGGGGGGGTCAGACCCCCCCCCCTAGCAGCAGGGACGGGCTTAGAAGTGCAGGGGGGGTACCGAGCAATGTGCGGCCGCTCCAGTGGTAAGTTGAAAGTTCTCTCCCCCTCCCCCACGCCAGTGTGAGTGAGCAGTGTGAGAGCCAGTGTTCTCGTCTCGTGTTTATGGAGAGGGGGGGGGGAGATAAAACAATATTGGCAGGGTCGACGCACCCCCGGACTGAGCGGAGAGATCCCAGGGTAAAGACGCTGGGCTGTCCGGCGGCGCCGCCGCCGACACCGGGACCGACACTCGTCAGACTCGTAGGACTCGCCGTGAGTAGCTGGTGTCGTCGACGAAGTTGGAGCGGCGCCGACGCATCGGGGGAGGCAGCGAGAACGGCGTCCGGTCCCTCATCCTGCGAAAGAGGCTTGCTATGTTCCGCGAGACGAGGTCGGAAGCGCCGATTGAAGCGCCTTGAGGCAGAATGACGGCCCGCTGGTCCGGTATCTTGAGAGCGGGGCGAGGCGACGCCGTGCCTCGAGTGCGGCACGTTGGGCATCTCAACGGATGGTTCGCTGCCTTGCACGCCTTTGACCAGCGCACGGCACACGTGCGACAGAAGCTGTGCCCGCAACCGTCCCAAGCGACAGGGTCCGAGGCGTCGCTGAGGCAGATCGCGCACAGACACGCGTCATCTCGCCGCTGACGCCACGCGCGCTGGATCGTCGCGATGGCGGCCTCCATGTCCATGTTCTACGGGCGCGATGCCCGAGGCGCTGGCCCACGGCGGCAACGACTCCCAAGCGTGATATTGCAACCTGGACCGCCTCGGGCTGTCTTAAGGGCAACTTCACACCAGCCTGGCGCGGTCTACGTAACAACTGATTGAACCCTCCCGCACCCACTCCCCATACCGACACCATGTCTGGGGATGGGGAACCGACGCGCGGGAGGGATCATTTTGCGGTTTTTGGTGTTTTTTCTCTTTCTTGGCGGCTCTTCCGCGCCAGGCTGAGCGCTCCATAGCCTCTCCTCGCAACGACCACACAGCTCGCCATGCCGACCCGCAGCGCCGCTCGTGCGACGGACACGTGAGCAGCACCCACCGCGCCCGTCCCTGCGACGCGCGGCCGCACAGCAGCCTTTCGCAGCCGCCCACCCCTCTACGCTCGCCGAACGGCTGGCCCTGCCTTTGCTACTCTCAGGATCACTCCTCTCGAGATGGTGAGCGTCCTCGCTGATCCCACGGCGTTTGGCTACGTGGAATGTGTCTGGTATGCGCTCGAGCCGCTGCCGAGCAACCCACAGCACTCGTTCTGCGACCGCTTTGGGCTGAGCATGACCGAGCTCGACACCTTGCTTACTCATACCGATCCGTCCTTCTTCCCTGGCGCATTGAAGGAGCTCAAGTCGCTGCGCGAAAGCTCCTTCAAGGCGAGCATCGTAGCGGCGTGCGGGTCAACGGCACCTCCAGTCTTCAAGCAGACGGTTCGCAGCACTGCGGCGCTCGAGCGCGCTGCCGGCGCCGTCGGCGGCGTCTCGTGCGCAAACCGCTAGATGCGACCACACACCACGCTCACGACATGTCATTCGCACCTCCCGCGTTGCTATACCTCAGAACACCGCTCTGGCCCGCGCTTGTCACAGTCTGCACCCACACAGCGACGTGCGGCTCTGCACGCGCCGCAGGTGGGTGGCCTTTGGGCGGCAGCCGGACGTCACCCCGCAGCAGCAGGTCGACGGCCACGCGGACTCTGTTCAACCCGGCGCCGTCGGCCGCAGAGTCCTCGCTCGACTCGTCGAGGCCCGGCCCGCCCACGAGGCGACACGCGGGCCTCTCGCAGTCGACGATGCAGCAGCAGCAGCGACGCCTGGGACCGAAGGAGACGATGAGGACGAGTCAGCGCTCTGCTCGCTCCTAGACATAGCCGCCGCTCTCGGGGAAGCTGGCGTCGCCATCGACTTCAAGGGCATGTCCAACAAGCGACTCGGCTCCGTCATTCGCCTACCGCTAGGCGGCGCCTCGGGCTCGACGCAGCGGGCAACGCTAAGGGAGGGAGGAGCGGCCATAGTGCGAGGCATTGCTTCGAGCCTCAACCCGGATGGCTCGGGAACGGCGTCCCTGATCGCCGCCGCGCTGGTCCCGCCGCCGTCTCTCGAGACGAGGCAGCGTGTGGCTGCTGACCGCGCCGTCACCGAGAGCCTGGTGGGGTCGTACCTCGACGCGGTGAAGAGGAAACTGCCAAAGCGCGAGCAGCGCCAGCGCCTGTCGGCTCTCGTGCCCACGATCGGTCAGCATGGCTACACGCTGCCCATGCTCAAGCGCGAGCTAAACATCAACATCTCAAGGTGCGCCGCCCGTGCGCGCCTATGCTAGCTCTCGGTGCCCTGGGGAGACGAAAAGAACCCCCTGTCGGTGGAGAGAGCGCGGTGACGGCGCCCATGCTTCGCACCCCGCGCCCTCCGCAGGTTCGAGTACCGCGCGACCCGCCTGCACGCGCTGACCTTTGGCCCCGCGGCGTCGGCTGAAGACGATCGGCCGAAGCCACAAGGCGTGAAGAGCGCAGCGCTTAAGGATGCCATCGCCTTCCTCTACTCGCCTGATAATATGCAGCAGGTCGCGTTTGGGACGATGTCGATCCGGCTCAGCAACGGAGATGTAATGGAAGTGCCTGCAACCATGCGGACGAAAGCACGTGAGCAGATCTACATGGACTACGCCGAAGCCAGGCGCAATCCGCGTGGAAAGACGTGGTTCGGACCAAAGCATAAGCAAGGATCCTTCCGGTACGATGGGCTCGGTCGGACTAAGTTTCTAGAGGCGGCCGTGCTAGCAGCCAAGGGCGACCTGAAACAGCTCGGAGCGCTCGACGCCGTCTCGGAGTTTTGCGGCCGTATGCAGTTCGAAGTCCTCCGTAAAATCGTCCGTGAGCTAGCTGCGCTCTGCCCCAGCGATTGCAGCTCGTTCGAGAAGCCTATCTTGGATCGCATCGACGCGGTGGAGGTGCACGTAAAGCGCCAGCTGAAAGCGCACCTCGGTCATGCAGATGCGGCCAAGTGCGCGTGGCACTGTGCAAACCACGCGCACGCTGACGCCTCTGGGGCGGATAAATCGCGCCCGGCGCCCTGCACGCACGTGCACGCACAGGGCTGCATGGAGTGTGCTCAGCTCGCGGCGCTGCAAGCCGATCTCGACGTCCTCCTGACTGCCGCCGAGCGCTGCCTGCAGCGAAACCTCCCTAGCCCGGCGGCGGCTGCTTCCCTAGCCGTCGGCTCGTACGTCGCCTACACGGACGAAGCCGGCCTCACGCACTCAACGGTGGTCCGGGAGGTGCACCCGCCCGAGGGCGGCGCCTTTCCCCCTCCTCCTGCTGCCCCGGCCGTCACCCCTGCGGCTGGACGCACGCGGGCCTGCGCGGCTGCAGCGCCTGCCACACCCGCCGCCGCTGCTCCAGCGGCCGCAAACCAGCCCGTGGCGGCCACGACCGCCGTTGATCCGAACTACTACACGGTCGACAGCGGCTTCGAGGGCGGGAGGCGGCGAGTCCCCGCCTCGGCTCTCTCCCCCCGAGTCTCCGAGCCACGTCTAGAATCGCTGACCCAACTGCGAGAGCTCGTGCGCCGCGCTAGCGAAAAGCTCGACAGCTACTACCATCACATGGTCCGAGCAGCGCACGAGGCTGCTACTACCTCGCGTCTGCTCGAAGGGCTCGAGCAGGATCAGGCGCGGGCAGCCCACCTGCGAGACACACGGAGAAAGGGAGGTGAGGAGAGTCGCCCACGCGAACCCGAGAGAAGAGTGCGTCCGACCTCTACAGGTCCTCGTCATCGCCGACTGGAAAATGAAGTTCTTGATGAGCGTCTTCCGCGAGGCCATGTCCGAGTTCTTCGGCAAGCGCGGCATGCCTTGGCACGGCTGCATGCTTGTCCGGCGCCCGCTGCGCTTCGAGGCCGATCGTTACGGCGAGGGAGAGTTCGTCTGCGAGTACAAACATGCAATGATGCTCGCGTCGAAAGAGGACGGCTTTGCTACCCTATCCGCAGTGCACATCGCGCTCTCGGAGTACAAATCTGAGAACCCGCACGTCTCGAGCGCCTTGGTCAAGACTGACGGAGCCGCCGCATACGCGGGCGCGACCTTCACCCTCGGCCTCTCCTTCCTGGGTGAGACGACCGGCATCGTCGTCCGCGGACACTTCATCGGCGAAGCTGGGCAGAATAAGTCTACTCTCGACGGCGAGTTTGCGGTCAGCGGGAGCCAGGTCCGCCGGCTCATCTGCAGCGGCCTCCACGACGTCCGCACGCCGTCAGACCTATTCCACGGGTTAGAGAAGGTGCTCTCCAAGCAGGGCGGCCGCACAGTCGCGCTCTTCCGGCCCGCCGGCAGCGAGGAGTTCGCCGTGGAGACGATCGCTCGCCTCACCCTGATGTCGGCCCGCGAGTACGTCTACGACGGGTCGGGGTCGTTCGAGGCGCTGCTGCTCCGCCGCCAGTCCTTCCTGGGGGAGGGGGAGCGGCTGACCTCGGCCGACCTCTTCCCGGACGGAAGGGTCGCGCCCACCGCGCCTCAGGTCGTCGCCTCGACGAGCCGCGGGGCGGCGGGCAGCTCGGGGCAGCACGAGCTCGTTGCACGAAGCGACGACAGGGGCCGCGAGGGCAAAGCGGACCGGAAGCTCGTCGCACGAAGCGACAGGGGCCGCGAGGCGCGGGCGAAGGCCAAGGCGGAGCGGAAGGAGGCGGCACAGGCGAAGGTGGCGGCGGAGCGCCGCCGTCTCGCTTCGGAGGCCTCGGTGGCGCGATCGACAGCGCGGTCCTACCGATGCTGCGACATGCCTGGCGGCATGCACGGCTGCGATCGAGTCTTTGTGCGCCTAGGGGCGTTAAACAGGCATCTGGAGCAGGGTCGCACCAACCCGGATGTGCACCAGTCCGGTTATGTCCGATGCTACCCCGCCGGCGCGCCTGTCGGCAGGGCGAGCGCCGGCGACGTGCTTGCGCGAGCGGTTGCCGCACAGGCAGGGCGTGTCACCATCCACGGCGGCGAGGGCGGCATCGCCTCGCCCACCCTCTGCCCGGTGGCCGAGCTGCAGCTGACGCTGTGCGATGGGACCGTGTGCAAGCCGACCCCTCCGGAGGCTGGCTATGCCGGTAACCAGCAGGGGCGGTCGAAGCCGCGCCGCAAGTCTGCCATGCAGCTGACCTACGTCCTACTCGTCGGCCACGACGTGAAGGACGAGAAGGGGTACGAGAACCTGCACGGGCACGAGGCGAGCCAGCTCATGCTGGAGTGGGGCACGGCCGGCTTTGCCAGCCGTTTTGCGGGGGTTGGCAATGCGGCGGCCACGCAAGACGGGCAGCCGCACCTGCCGCGGACGGCGCAACTCTCGGCGAGCGAGCTCACGCCGCTGCTTATGCTGCCCCGGGCGAAGCTCGAGGCTCGCATCCTGAAGCTGAAGGCAAAGGAGCGGCGCCCCTGGGTCGCCGCAAAGACGAGGAAGCGGAAGCGCAGCGCCGTCCCTGCCGGCCGCAAGCAGAAGCCCGACAGCGCGGCCATCCTGCGCTCGGCGCGCGTCAAGCTTCGGCGCGCGGGCTGGGACATCGCCGCCGCAGTCGGGCAGAGGGGCGGGCGGCGGGCGGACCGCCTCACCGTCCCGGAGCTGAAGGCTCTCGTGGCAGGCCGCGGCTGGAAACTGGGGAAGGGTGAGAAGGCCAACCAAGGCCCCCTGCTTGCGCTCGCCGAGCGGAAACGCAAAGAGGCGCGCGACGCGCACGCTGGCCGCCACGGCGGCGTCGCCCGGCCTGAGGACGGCCTGGACGAGTGCTGGGCGCCTCAGCCCGAGGATGAGGTGTCAGACGACGGCGCGGGCGGCTCGGAGGCGAGCGGCTCGGGCGCCGCCGGCGCTGCAGGCGGTGCGGGCGGTGTGGGCGGTGCGGGCGCGGGGGGCGTAGCAGGCGCGAGGGCGGAGGCCGGCACGGCTGGGGAGCCGGCGGGCGACGGCTCGGCGTCGGAGGGAGAGGCTACAGGTGATGTCGAAATGGGTGAGGCATGCGGGGACGCCGAGATGGCAGAGGCAGGGTCGGGGAGCGGCGGCGGCGGCGGTTGCGACGGCAGCGACGGCAGCAGCAGCAGTAGCAGCAGCAGCAGCGACGATGACAGCGACGACGCCGACGGACCTGACAGCAACTGTGAGGGAGAGGGAGAGGATGTAGCGTCGTCCGAGTCTGAGAGTGAGTCTGGGGATGAGGGTGAGGAGTAGCCGCGCGGTGGAGTGTACGCTCGCTGTTTACTCGATCCGCGCGTGTGTCGACAAGGGAGAAAACGGCCACGAGAAGAGGAGGGCACGCGTGACACCTGAGCGAGCCCGCCACAGCTGGCTCTTTCACCTGCAAGTACGAAGTAGCAGACGCTAAGGCGCGCAGTAAGTGGCCGACATGGCAAGGTCAGCGCGCATTTGCGCCACGCATCGCGAGATGGAGGGAGTACTGTAACCTACAGAGAGAGGACCTGCAGCCGCCAGACGCGACGATTCGCACGAAGGAGTGACTCGCCCGCGGCTTGCCGCACTGCACTCGCAGATATGCCCTCCGGGCGGAGGTTGAGCACTAGCCGCAAGGCACACGACCGCGGCCAGTGCTCAACCTGCAGCACCGGGCCTACAGCGAGGAGTGATACGGTGATTGACGAGGCAGTGGTTCATGCGGTGGTGGAATCGGTGTCAAAACCGAGCCAACAGGCTGAAACGGCACGGGAGCTCACAGTGTGCCTCACTGAGAGTCTCGCGGGTGCTCCGAGGCGAGCAGAGCGCGAGGGCCGATGGCATGTGAGTCTACGTAGACGCCTCATACTTCGGCGGGGCTAGTGCAGGACGCAGATGGACGAAGACCGAGTCGACGGCCTGCCCCAAAAATCAAGAAAAAATGCTGCGGCCGAAATCTCGATTTTTAAGCTATCAGGGGGTGTTTCTGGGACTATATGCGACCACTTCACCCGCCCCGGGAGGACTGGATCAGTTGCGACCTATCTTGCACCATCCTGGTGTTAAAACCTACGAGATTGCAGGTTCAGTCCTCGTTGTGCTCTCGCCTCGGGGTTTGGCGCAGCGAGAGATGAGAGCTGCCCCCGCGCGTGCCCTCTCGCCTCTCGCCCCACAACCACCACTGCAGCGCGTGCGAGCGCGTGCATGGCTGCACGCCGTGCTGCGACCGCCGCGCGAGCGGCTCGCTCCGAGCGCCGCGAATCTGGCACAATCGGATTGCCGGTCTGAGCGCTGCTGGGCGCGCGGCCGCGGGTCGTCTCCGTGCCACTGCGCCCCCGCGACCCCCAAAACAAGCCCGCGCCGTGCTCATCCCATTTTATGCTGCTGACGCTCGCGCCCGCCGCCGCCTGCGCCCTCGCAGATCCAAAACAACGTGGGCGAGGCGGGTGTGCCGCGGTGTCCTTGGTGCTGGGCCTCAAGCTGCGTGCGCTGCGAGTAGGTGCGGCACTTCTCTAACCCCCTACTGCGAACGGCGCCTTCTCTTGACCGCCAGCCCTCCAAACACCGGAATATGGTTTCGTACCTCGATCGAGTGCCCGCGGGGTGGCTGCTATTGCCGCCGCCAGAGCCGCCGCCCTCGCCGCCCTCGCCGCCCCCACCGTCCTCGCCGCCTCCACCCTCGCCTCCACCCTCGCCGCCTCCGTCGCTGCCCCCACCGTCCTCGCCGCCGCCGCTGCTGCCGCCCTCCCCACCGCCTCCGTCGCTTCCCCCTCCGACCTCGCCGTCGCCCCAGCGACCGCCGCCCTCGCCGCTGCCGCCGCAGCCGCCCTCGATGCCGCCGCCGCTGCCGCCGCCGCCGCCGCCGCCGTCGCCGCCTCCACCCTCGCCTCCACCCTCGCCGCCTCCACCCTCGCCGCCCCCCACGCCGCCGCCACCATCGCAGCCCCCGACGCCGCCCCCGCCCTCAGCCCCGCCCCCGCCGCACTCACCGCCGCCGCCCTCGTCGTCGCCCTCGCCGCCGCCGCCCTCACACCCGCCGCTGCTGCCGCCTCCGTCGCTGCCACCCTCGCCGCCGCCGCCCTCGCCTCCAGTCGCGCCGCCCCCGTCACCGCCGACCTCGCCGCCGCCGCCCTCATCTCCACCCTCGCCGCCACCGCCCTCGCCGCCACCGCCCTCGCCGCCGCCGCCCTCGCCACCGCCGCCATCGCCGCCGCAGCCATCCCCGCCGCCGCCCTCGCCGCCGCCTCCGCTTCCGCCTCTGTCGCCCTCGCCTTCCCCGCCACCACCTCCTGCACCGCCGCCTCCGCCGCCGCCGCCGCCGCCGCCGCCGTCGCCGCCAGGGGTGACAAAGCCAAACCCACCGCCGCCGATGCCGCCCTGGCCGCCGGGGCAGCGGCCAGAACCTCCCCAGCCCCCGCTACCGCCGCCGTCATTGCCACCGTCCCCGCCGCCGCCTCTCTCGCCTCCAGCAACGCCGCCGACGCCGCCGCCGCCGCCTCTCTCGCCTCCATCAACGCCGCCGCCGTCGTCGCCGCCGCCTCTCTCGCCTCCATCAACGCCGACGCCGCCGTCGCCGCCGCCTCTCTCGCCTCCAGCAACGCCGCCGACGCCGCCGCCGCCGCCTCTCTCGCCTCCATCAACGCCGCCGCCGTCGTCGCCGCCGCCTCTCTCGCCTCCATCAACGCCGCCGCCGCCGCCGCCGCCGCCTCTCTCGCCTCCAACAACGCCGCCGCCGCCGCCGCCGCCGAAGCCGCCGCCGACGCCGCCATCGCCGCCGCCTCTCTCGCCTCCAGCAACGCCGCCGACGCCGCCACCGACGCCGCCGCCGCCGCCACCAAAGCCGCCGTCGCCGCCGCCGCCGACGCCGCCGCCGCCGCCGACGCCGCCGCCGCCGCTCGCCCCACCCCCACCCTTCTACGCCGACTTCGTCGAGAAGCTCGACGAGACAGTGCGGACGGGCGGGTATCACGTGGTAAAGGCTGGCCGAGCCATCCTCGCCAATCCCCCGGTGGAGTTGGCGCTGGGAGCAGCCGGGTTGCTCTTCCTGGCGCTCTGCTTCTCCCGCTGCTGCTGCCGGCGGCGCGAGCCGCCTCACAAGCGGCTCGTGGAGCCCGACGAGGAGGAGGCGGCGGGGGGCGGCAAGCCGAGTCCGCGGCGGCCGAAGCGCCGCTCAGATGCCATGCCGTTCTTGCACGCAAACCGGTCCGCAGCGGAGCTGGAGCTGGCGGAGCAGGTGGCGGAGCTGGAGCGGCACCTCGCCGTGAGCAAGGCCACAAGGCCGGAAGTAGCATCACTCGTTCAGATGGCGCGGGCCGCGAAGTCTGAGCGGGAGTCGTGACACTGACAGACAGAGGCGCCCCCTTCGTGACGCCCGCTTCCTTAGTTAGGCCGCGTCCCTCCCCTGTCCTCTCGACTGCATTCCTCTCTGGCTCAAACGGCGCGTAGCCGCCGGTTGCTCTATCGCGCTCTCAGACGCAAACGGCGGGCGTAGCCGGTTGCTCTCGCGGGCAGGGCGGTTCGGGTTAGTGCCCAGCACTACGCTCTCGCCCTCTGTTCGTCGCGGCTACGCCCTCGGCTTGATGAGTACTTTGCCGTGCGATTCGAGCAGTTATTATGACTCAGCACGCAACCGGAGACCGGTTTGGTTTCTTATCTAATAAATACATCCCTCCGTGAGTCGGGAACTCCTGCATGTATTAGATCTAGAATTACTACGGTTATCCAAGTAGCAAGGTACCATCAAATAAACCATAACTGATTTAATGAGCCATTCGCACCGACCGCTCCGAGGTGAGGCGTGTCCGGACGATCCCAACATAATCGCGCTCATATCGCGCTCCCTGGCCCAAACGGCGCGTAGCCGGTTGCTCTCGTGGGCAGGGCGGTTTGGGCTAGTGCACAGCAGTACGCTCTCGCCCTCTGTTCGTCGCGGCTACGCCCTCAGCTTGATGGGTACTTAAAGCACGCATCGCCCCAGCAGTGCGCAGCCGTGGCCCGCGCCGCAACGCCGCCGCCGACATCGCCGCCGGCGCCGCCCGTGCCAACGCCACCGCTGCCCTCCCCACACGAGCACCCACCTCGCCGGCTCGCCGCCACCCATGCTGTCGCCGCCCTCACCCCTCTGCCGACCGCGCTACAACTGGCTAGCAAAGACGCAGCCTATAGTCTCGACTCTCCCGCCAATGTCTCACGATTGTTTGCGTCTCACGTTGGCTCATGGCATGGTAAGATGGTATCTGACAACGCGCGACTATGAGGCAGCGGCTTGTGGCGTCTCACACCCGTTCTGCGCCGTGTCTCATTGTGGCTCAGCACAGTCTCAGAAGCAAGTGAGACGAGTCGCTTGGCGCAGCAACTATGCCGTTGTGAGACCGAGTGAGACGAGGAATGCCGCTTGTTCACCGTGAGACGAGTGTGAGACGCTCTGAGATGAAATGACGAGACGTAGTAGAGACGACATTGTCACACAGCAGAGGTGCACATTTGTCTCACTGGTGTCTCAAATCAGCCTCTCGCGCCGACCTGCGAGATTCACACGTCATTCTCTACTCGAGTACGTACGAACGGCGCCTTCTCTTGACCGCCATCCCTCCCCGGGAAATGGTTTGGTACCTCGGGCGAGCTGGCGCGTGTGTAGACCGCTCCGGCGGCCCTGGGAAGTACGCCTCCGCGTCGACGTCCAACAGCCTCTCCTACGCAGAGATTCACGACACTTGCCGCCGGTCCTGCGACGTCGACGCTTTCTGCGTCGGCTACAGCGTTTACGCTCCGCTCGTCGGAGGTCAGGTCGGTTACGATCCGCTCGTCGGAGGTCAGGTCGAGTGCAAGACCTATAAGGCGCAAACCTCGGTGGACATGATTGCGGGCGCAGCGCCCTCGAGCGGCACGACGTGCTACGAAAAAATATATTCACCCGCGCCGTCGCCTCCGCCGCCGCCGCTCCCGCCACTGCCCCCGCCGTGTGCCTTCCCCGACGCGCAGTGCCTTGGCCAGACCTGCGGAGACTGGATCGGCACCTCCTGCACCAGCCCCTCCCTCCAGGGACTCTGGGCCGGCCACACCTGCCCGCATTGCCGCGGCTGCTGCTCCGTGCCGCCGCCGCCTTCCCCTCCCGCGGCCCCCCCCTCGCCAGCGACCCCGCCACAGCCGCCGCCGACGCCGCCACCGACGCCACCGCCTTCGACGCCGCCGCCGCTCGCCCCACCCCCACCCTTCTACGCCGACTTCGTCGACAAGCTCGACGGGACGGTGCGGACGGGGTACGAGACCGTGGCGCCCGTCGTCAAGGAGCTGGAGAAGGAGCTGGGCGCGCTGCTCCCTGAGCGGTGGGCCCAGAAGGTCGCCGAACACGGGAGCGCGGTGCGCGAGTGGAGCCTGCGCCCCCTCGGCGACTCGCTAAAGCTAAACTTGGACGACCGGAACCGGACATCCACTCCGAGTGCTCTCCCCCCCCTCCTTCGCGATCACGTGGTAAAGGCGGGCCGAGCCATCCTCGCCAATTCCCCGCTGAAGTTGGCGCTGGGAGCAGCCGGGTTGCTCTTCCTAGCGCTCTGCTTCTACCGCTGCTGCTGCCGGCGGCGCGAGCCGCCTCACAAGCGGCTCGTGGAGCCCGACGAGGAGGAGGCGCGGGGCGGCATGCCAAGTCCGCGGCCGAAGCGCCGCTCCGATGCCCTTCATCGGCCGCAGGAGCTGGCGGAGCAGTTGGCGGAGCTGAAGCTTAGGATGAAGGAAGTGGGGGAGCTGGAGCGGCGCCTCTCCGTGAGCAAGGCCCAAGGCCGGAAGTAGCATCACTCGCTCATGTGGCGCGGGCCGCGAGATCTGAGCGGGAGAGGCTCGACGTTGGGGCACCGACTGGCCCACAACGCGGTGAACCAGGCGCGCAGCGCGGGTCGCCACCGAGTGGCTGCCGGTTCGAGATTCCTCCTTTCCGCTCCCCCCCCGCAAGGCGCGAGACACACACGACTGCCTGATTAATGAGGTGGTGCGGCGTTCTGCGAATCTTGCTCTGGAGCATAGAATGCCAGCTGGAACCCGCGCGACTTTGGCCTTTGTTTGCGCGTGGGGAAACACGGCGCGATGCTAACGCTACAGTATCGGCTCGTGGAGCTCGAGGCTCACGGTCGAGGGCTGGATGGAGGACGTCGGGCGTCGTGAGAACTGAAAAAGGGGGGCGGGGGGTGTGGCGAGTGGCGTGGAAATCGATATCGGATATGATATGGAGTTCACTTTTGTATTGCATGTGCATGTGCATGTGCGTGTGCATGTTACAATGTGCATGTATGTTGTAACACGCTCATGCATGTATGTTGTCATGTTGTTGTTGTGCATGCACTTGGTTATAAAGCCGTAGCACCATGCTTGGACAAGCTAAGAATAGGCCTCACCCGAGAATACAGTAGGCTGCAGAGAGAACTTGCCGCCGCGGCGGGCGTCTCTGCCGTGTGTGTACCCGACGCTTCTATGTCCGCGCGGGCGAGAGTGGTCTAAACTGTAAACTCTATGGAGCCCCGAGCATCGCTGCTGCGTGGAGAAGACAGCAGCACTGCCCGACCTCAAAACATGCACAACAAGCGGGATTTGTGACTCTGTCCTCAATTCTTCAGCCGCTCTGCCGGACGCGCTCCCCTTGTCGCGAGGGGCACCGGTGCAAGCCCAGAACCGCCTCGCCAAGTATAGCCACACGGGGAGAAACTATGAACATGATTCAGGTCTACTACGTTGAATTGAACGACTCTGCGTCGTCCGCTGCGGGCCAAACTCAACACAGTGCGTTGCGACACACACCCTTCCTGGCTGACGGTCGAGCAGTGTGCAAGCCGCGTGCGCCCATTCTGGCCTCGCCAAGCTTGGAACATGGGAATTAATGATGCTTGGGATCTAGGTCTACAACCACTGCCGTGAGTGGATCCACATTCGCGTCATAAGGCATCCTGGCCTGCTGCGGCCACAGCCAGCATTGCGTAGCGACGCACTGTGTGTGGCTGGCAGCAAGCAAACTCAAATGACGACGCGTTGCAGCCTCGTAGCTCAACAACATTGTGCATTTGAGGAAGGCTCCGTTACTAAGGCTGATAGAAGCAGCATCAGCCACACAACCAACAACAGCTTCTGGAGAGTATGCGGAGCGCAAGCAGCCGGTGATCAAAGGCGTGTTGCTGTCGGTGGCAGATTGCCAGAGGGACGCCGGCGCTTCGGTGCGTGGCTTCGGGGTGGTCGCAATTTCCACCGCTCAACTTGGAGGCAGTGTGTCTAGTGCGTTGTGCGTAGTAGTACCCAATAAAGTGCTAACACGACCCTCGGGGGCAGCAGGGGGTATGTGGCGAGCGCACGGAGGCACAGTTAGGCCGCCGTGATATCGCCCTTCCGGGCACCCCGCATCGGTAGCCGTTTAGGGGTTAAGGCTGATTGGCTAGACGAGCGGCCTACCTCCAACGGGGCAGTCTAGATCACGGGGGATGATATCCTGCCTACCGGCACGCCGGGAGGAGGTGGTTGCTCCGCCGCCGGACCGGCCTCTCCACCACCCTCGCCCAGGCCCCACTGGCCCAGGGATCTACAATGCTGTCTCATGAAGGTCCGACAGGTTCGGGACGGCACCGGGCACCGCCTCGGTATACAAAATGCGCCTGCGGGCGGACCCTCACAGATCACAGATCACTCTGGTCTACGCACACCCAAGCAGGGCTGGGATGGCTGTCAGCGCTCCCCTGGGCTTCGCATCACACCCCTCACCTGGAAGAGCAAGTAGTCGCGTAAAATCGGCATGTAAAATGCCGCATCAAGGCGTCTAAAGAAGACGACATGAATGTTCACAGAGAATGTTTACGGTTCAGACCTTTGCGCGGGGTGTGAACAGCCATTCCGCGTGGTTGAAGGTTGAAGGGGTCGGTCGACCACTTGGTTGATGGTTGAGACCTCTGTCAACCCGCTGGTTGACAGTTGAGGCAATCGGCCTCAACCACCGCTAGGGACTGCATCACAGGGTTGCTCGGAGGGAAGAGGGATGCGCAGCGCGCGCGGGAGCTGGGCCGGGCCGCGCATTCCTGGTGAGATTCGTCCCGAGTTTGTGTCAACCACACTCATGGGAGATGAGGCAGGCGCGGCAGACCCGCAACCAGTCGGCGCGGAGCTGGAGGAAATCTGGGACTGCGCGGAGGAGGCGCCCGCACGTCGTGGCACGTAGGGCTCGCCGTCACCCAGGCGCAAAAGGAGGGCGACACACGCTGCAGGGCAAGAGCACCCAGGCCATATCGCGCTCGCATTCCTCCTGCCCGCCGTCGGCATCGTCGCCTCCACCATCGGCTTCTTCGCAGTCAACACCAGCGCGCAGGGCAAGGGGTGGGACGTCCACCTCCGCAGCCGCACCCCTGCCGCCCTCTCCAGAGGGGCGGAGCCGGCCGTGGCACGCCCGTGACGCGACGCGCCCGCGACGGCTGCTCCTCTAGGCACCCTCATGTGGGCCCTCGAGAAGGGCATGTACCTCTCAGCGTGGGCAAGCAAGGCGGCGGCCGAGATCAATCATCTCCGAGGTCCGCTGGCAGTTCACTCAAGCACATCCGCAACGCCAAGGGCATCTCGCTCGGCGAGTGCATCCGCGTCTACACCGAAAAGGCGGAGGAGTTTTGTGTAGAGGTGGATCACTTCGTTCATGCCGCGTTTTTTTGGCCGAACCGACAGGGGCGCCGCGGCAGGTAGGGAGCACTCCACCGCCATCCCGTTTTTATGGCGGGTAGCTTGGGGAGTCATATGTGGTGGCGGCGTGCCGTCCTCCCATCCTGGCGAGCGAGTACAGTGTGTGTGTGTGTGTGTGTGTGTGTGTGTACACACGAGTACAGACAGTCCACGCCTGCTATTCACAGCACAAGCCCTCGCCGGGGGCTCGAGCATGCGCAGCGAAAAGCAATCCTTTTTCCAGACGGACCCCCCCCTTGTGAAAAAGTGAGGCCTGGTACTAGGGGGCTATACACTCTCTGAGGCCTCAGACCCCCCTCTGAGGACGGGTCGGACCCCTGCCTTGGCGGCACAGAGGGTTTGACTCTGACTCTGTGCCGCCTCTATGGCCTCTCTTGGCTGCTTTTGGCCTCAGAGGGTCCCTGGCTGATGGTCCGTCTTGGCGCGGCACAGAGGGCTTTGACCTCAGAGGGTGGCCCCCCCTCACGGCAGAGGCGAGAGCCCCGGGCGGAGGCGGAGCTGCCTAGCCCTCCACGAACGGCGCTGACCAGTGAGGGCGGGGAGGGGCGGGGTAGTAAAACATTACGACTTTTCACAGCGACCATCCATGACTAAGGCGCTACTCTATACGCTCGCAAGCGCGCCCGGCACCACACGCGCTTACTGCTGCAGGCTCGCCCACAGCGCCTGCGCCGTGCCCTGCGCGTGAACCAGCTTCGCACGGCCCGGCCCCGTCAACTTGAGGATGTGCTTGGAGCGGCCGCCCGACAATGTCGTTGACCCGGACTCTGATGCGCATCTTGGGTGCCTCGCCACAGCTGGGGCGCCTCGCGCAGAGTAGCTGGAGAGACAGTTCCGTCAACTCTCGCAGAAATTCTTTTTCTGTGGTTGTGGGGACGAGAGAGACTTGAAATGCCTGAAAACCCCTCTGAGCACTGAGGAGCGGCCTCGCGGGGCTTGCCTTGGCGTCTCAGAGGGTCCCCGTAGCCTCAGAGGCTGCGCCGAGAGAGGCTGGCTTGGCGGCACAGGCCTTCAGAGGGTCGGCCCAGGCACCCTCTGAGCCGCTCGTGGATGGCCTCTCTTGGCACAGAGGGTACCCTCTGAGACGAGCAGATCTGGGCCCGCTTGCCTCACACCCCCCCCCTCTGACACAACCCCCTAGTGGCCTGGTCTGTATTGGTTGCAAAAAAGAATTTCACGGTTCCCACCACCTGCGAGGGCTCGGTGGCACCGCGGCGACCAACCACGCTCTTCGCCGCCGCGCTCGGCCTCGCCGGCCGCGCGCCGAGGCGCATGACTTCGAAGAAGGACTCGTCGAGGAGCGCGGCTGCCTACCCGGCACTGTCTGCCTTCCTGGCTCACAGCACGGTGGAGTACCACATGGAGGAGCTGCCTGTCGCCGAAGCGAGACCGGCGCTCCTCGAGTGGTATCGAGCCACGCGCCGTAGGCTTCCGTGGCGAGGGGACGCGCCGCCGTACAACGGCTCCACTGCCGGTGTGAACAAGGCCGGCTCACGCGCGGCACAGGTGGCCGCGGAGCCCTCGCCCGTCGGCGAGGTGTCGGCGTACGGCGTGTGGGTCTCGGAGATCATGTGCCAGCAGACGCGCGTCGAAGCCGTCATCCCGTACTGGCTGGCCTGGATGGAAGCCTTTCCGACGGTGCAGGACCTCGCTGCCGCCTCGGAGGAGCAAGTGAACGCCAAGTGGGCGGGGCTCGGCTTCTACCGGCGCGCGCGCATGTTGCACGAGGGCGCGAAGCAGGTGGTGGACGATTTCGATGGCCAGCTACCGCAAACCGTCGACGGCCTGCTGCGCCTCAAGGGCGTCGGGCCGTACACGGCTGGAGCGATCGCCTCGATCTCGTTCGGCGTGCCCGCGCCGATTGTGGACGGCAACGTCCTACGCGTGCTCTCGCGGCTGTGCGCCGTCGCCTCGCACGTCAAGCAGCCCGCGTACGCCGACAAGCTCGCGTGGGGGCTTGCCGCGCGCCTCGTCGAGGGTGGCGGCGGCGGCGCGGCGGGTGAGCTCAACCAGGCGGTCATGGAGCTCGGCGCAACGCTCTGCGCGCCCGACGGCTCGGGTTGTGACGAGCGCGACCCGCTGCGCGCGCTGTACAAGTCGACGGCGGTAGCGCGCGACGCCCTCGCCGCTCAGCGCGCCGGCGACCTCGACGCGCTGCTCGCGCAGCCCAACCTCGGTGTGCACCGCTGTCCCGTCTGCGGGGCAGGCGCTGCTGATTTCCTCGCAAGGCTGCGTGCGGTGGCGGCGGGCGCGCCACCGAGGAGCGAGGAGGACACTGCCGTCGCGCAGGTGCACGCGCTGCTGCCGCTGCCGCTGCCGAAGAAGCGCGTGAGGCAGGAGCGCTATCTGGTCGCTGCAGTGCGGCGCGGCGACGCGGCGCTGTCACCGGGCACGGCGTGGTTGCTCGCCAAGCGGCCAGACAGTGGACTGCTCGCGGGGCAGTGGGAGTTCCCGGCCACGCTCCTCGCGGCGCACAAGGAGGACGAGCCGGACGACCCGGGCGCCGCCGCGCGCGCGACTGCTGGCGGCACGCTGCTCGAGCAGCTGGCGCCCGGCGGCGTGCAGAAGCGCTCAGCGGTGGACGGCACGCTCGAGCATGTCTTCTCACACGTGCGCCACACGATGCACGTGGAGCACGCCTGCTGCGACGCAGACGCGGCGGCGAGCGAGTGGGAGGGGCGCACGGTCGAGTGGATGGACGCCGACAGGATGGCCGAGGTCGGCATCACTGCGGGCGTCAAGAAGGTCATCGCCGCTGTCAGCGCGCACGCGCAGACGGGGTCGGCCCCGCGTCGCGCCGGCAAGCGGAGGGTGGCTGCTGGAAGCGACGACGGCAAGCAGCCGAAGATGAGCGCCTTCTTCACGAAGCGGGAGAGCTGACCACGCGTGGCAGCTGGCACGTGACCGCGACTCCGCGGGTCGTCACTGAGCTTTTTCAGTGTATGTAGCTCTTACGTACATTCCCGGAGGAGGACTGCTGACGGGGTTTGCGATGAGAAGCGATCCGAACGTGGCATTCGGGTGATCAGATCACTGCTTTTTGTATTTTGAAGTGAGAAGTCGTCGTCGTACGTCGAGCTGTCGCGACCTCGACACAGGTCGCGACTCGTGATCCTCTTTGCTCTGATAGACCACGCAGAGCTCAGCTGATGGACGCTGGTGAGGTGACGGTGGGAGGGCACCCCCCAGACAGCCCTCCCGGTGGATGGGGACGCCCAGGGATCTACACGTACAATGCTCCTCGGATGATGCCATGACGGATGATCTCGGGAAATCTGTCCGTGCCCCTCTTCCGCTGTTGTCGGGCGAGAAGGTCCAACAGAAGGTCCAACCAGCCGCACACGCGCGGTACGATGCGATGCGTATGAGGCGACTGCTCAACCTGCTGACACATGGGCTGAGAGCGATGAGGAGAGCGTCTCTCGGCATTGCTGTGGTCACGCCGACCGTGGCTGTGCCGGTCGTGCTGGCCATCTACCTCTCCAGCGGCATCACAGCTACCGAAGTCTGTGAAATCTCGCCCTCGTGGGACAGGACCTGGGAGTCCCCAGCGGCGCGGGAGGCGCTGTTGCGCGAGTCGGCGGCCTCGAGGGCGCGGGCCGCCGGCGTCAAGTTCTGCAGCTATCGCTGGGACGGCGCGATTCCGACCGTCTCCATCGTGGGTGCGGACCCGGACCTGTGCCACCCGCTGTTCAGGGCGTCACTCCTCGTGGCCAGTACCTTTGGCGCGGTCGGCTACCGAGACCTGCATGCCAAGGGCGGCGTTGCCTATATCGCCGCGCACGCGAGCAGCTCCACGGCCGAGCGAGGCAGGAGGGCAAACGCGTCCCTGCTCGCCCTCGCGTGGGCGTCCATGGTCTGCCTCGCGCTCGCGGGGGTCATCAACGTGACGCACTTCAACGCGGCGCACAACGGATGCGCCCTCGGGTTCTACGTTACCAACTCGGGCCACACGTGGGCGCTCTGGAGGATGCAGAGGGTAGCGGCGCACCGGACCCGCCGCCGGCTCGGCGACGCTCCGCCGTCGCTCGCGGGACGGTGGTGCCTGCAGGTGGACCCAAAGGCGCACCGGCCCGGCTCCTCCTCGCTCAAGGAGTGGATGGCCGTTTTGTGGACCATGTGCTTCGGCGGCGCCCTCGTTGTGCTCGGCCAGGTCTTCGCGCCCGTCTCGTGGGCGACTTGGTTCTCCTCCGCTGCGGTGCTCGAGTGGCTCGCCACCGAGCTCGTCAACACGTCGGTACTCATACACTACTTTGATATGCGTCAGCTGCGGCTGCTCGAGGCCAAGCTGTCCTACGGCCAACCCTGAGCGCTGCCTATTACCGTACTCGAGCTACTGTCTCGCCGAGAAAGCAGTGCCGTACAGCGTACAGTACACGGTCTACCGTCTACTGTGTTTTACTCGTGTGTTTCGCTGTGCACGTGTGTGACATTCGGCTTTACAACTTACATGCTCAACGCGCAAAACTCTCTCTCCACGTGTGCACGAAAACGCACACGCACGGTGTCTCAGTCCTCACGTGTCACGACGGTGGGACAGACGGCAGAGACCACACCCGGACACGGAGAGTCGAGAGACGAGCGGCGAGGCGTATACGCGACGCCGCGACTCGATCACGCACTGTTTCCATTCTGAGCTTACGTATAACACATACACACGCGTGCCGTTACTCTATGGAGCGCGGGCGAGGTACGAAAAAGTCCGTCGCTCGCTGTGTCTCACACCCTCAGCAGCCCGCTCTCGCTCTCGTTCCCGCGCGGAAGAGGCTGAAGCCTCGTGGCAGCCCCGCGCCACGCGTTGGGAGGCGGCGCAGCCACGGCCGCGATGCGCGGAAGGCGGGCGCCGAGCGCAGCTCGGCGTCCATCGCCTTGCACACCAGCAGAAAGGGCCGCCGCTGCGCCAGGCCGCCGAGCTGCCGCAGCAGCGCCTCGAGAGAGCTCGGCGCGAGCGGGTTGAACATAAAAAAGACGTCGGCTGCCGCGGGCGGCAAGCGCGACCGGCCGAGGGTGCGAGAGACGCAGCGGTAGCGGCGGCGGCGGCGGCCTCCGGCGAGCCTCGCCAGCATCTCGCGCCCGAGGGCGGCGCGCGCGCCCACCACCTCGTAGCCGTCGCACGAGACGTCTGGACGCCGGAGCGCGGCGACGAGCAGCGCGCGGCCGGAGCCGCAGCCGAGGTCGGCAAACGAGCCACCACGAGGGACTAGGCTGACCACCGCCGCGAGCTCCGCGTAGGGTGTGAAGCTCTCCGCGGGCGGCCGCAGCAGGTGCGTGTGCTCGAGGTCGTACCTCCGGAGCGCTGCCAGCGGCGCGGCGCCAAGGCCGCGCAGCACGCGCGCCTCGTCGATGCCGGCCACCACGTCGAGGAGCAGGTCGATGTCGAGCTCGCTCGATGTCGGCTCCTCACACGCGGCGTTGAGGATCGCCGCCGCCGTCCGCCGCAGCGCGGCATCGCCCGCCGGCGAGAGGTCGGCCGCGGTGACGCCGGCGCGGCGCAGGCACGCGGCGAGCTGCGGGTGCAGCCACGCAGGGCCATCCGCCGGCAGCTCGAAGTACGGCGAGTACATCACCGGGACCTGTCTGGCTATGCTGGAGCCGCGCGCCGTGGGACAGTATCGCCCCCCCCCCTCCCGGGGGAGCCTTTTGCCGGAAGAGAGTTGGCTCGTGAGGTTTTGATTTTCAATACCAAACAACTCTAACACTCACACGCACACTTGAGGTTTTGTGCCATGTGGGACCTAGTAGAGCGAGCAAAAGAGCTTGCCAGGGATGTCGCGCTATTCCTTCGCCGCGGCAACCCAGGAGACGAGGCACGGGTGGGCGACGCCGACGCGGACGAAGGCGCATCTAGCTCAGGCTGGAAGGCTGAGATTGAGTCCATCACCAACGGTGCGGCCGGCCGAGCGGTCCCGTCGCAGCCCAGGCTGGAAGGCTGAGATTGAGTCCATCACCAACGGTGCGGCCGGCCGAGCGGTCCCGTCGCAGCCCACCAAGCAGGTGCGCAAGTCGCCCGCGTCGGAGGCTCCGAGGCCATCATGTTCGGCAGCGCAGAAACGCCCCAATGCGCCGCCCAGAGCCCTGAATTCGCAGAGCGGTGCGACGCCGTAGCCTCTATGATGTGCTGCGCGCGCTAGGCGCACCCTGGCGCCGGGTGCACCCGGACCCACCCGGAGGGGCCCGGGAAGAGGGTCTAGCGGCCCTCCAGCGGCCCCCCAACGCCCCCCCCGCGGCCCTGATTTGGTAGGTATATCACACAAATGATGGGTCACTATAATACCCACGACTCAGGGTACCGGAGCGTCGCTGAGCCTCCTCGCGGACGCGGAACTTTTGTTCCACCTCGGGGCTGTTCCAGTCGCTGTAGATCTGGAGGAGCTCCGCCTTGCAGCGGTAATACAGTTTCTCGAAGCAGGCTGCCCGAGCCTGAAGAATGGCACACTCGTGACACTTGTCCTCGTGGGCGAGCTGAATCCCGTAAACGTTCCGCATATCATCGAATTGCGCCTCGTTCAGGCCGGCGTCGATCATCCGACGGGTCACCCGACGTTCGAAGACGCTTTCCTGATCGCTGTCCGAAGACGCGTCGTCGGGACGAGAGTCGCTGGCAGGCAGGTCCTCGACCGCCGGCTCCTCCTCGACCGCGGGCTCCTCTGGCGTCGGCACGTCCTGCAACGTTTCTGGAACGACAGCGAGAAGCGCCTCCGCGCCCGCCTGCCGCCGCTTGCACTTTCCCAACTCCTTGTCCACGCCGCTCGCGTGCGTCTCGAGCCGCTTGCCGTACACGACCGCCTGCTCGAGTCGCGCGCCCGCCAGCTCGCCGCGTAGGTCCCACACAAGGTACGCCAGCGCAGCCTTCTTCAGGTTCTTTATCTGGAGAGCCATCAGCGCGCCGCGCCGCTGCGACAAAAAGAGCGTGTTTACGGCAGCTTTCGCGGCGATGATGATGCCGTTGGTGACCTCGCCGACGATGCTGACCTCGTTGGAGGGTGCGGGGACGGGATGGTTGCCGAGGAGCATGGTCTCGAGGCGATTTAAGAGCGCGGTGGGCTCCAAGGCGAGCTGCGCCGAACTGGAGCGAGTCGGCCGCGCCCGAATTGCTGGCGCCGCATCGGCGCCGGTCGAGTCCGACACGACCGCGGTCTTCTCCACCGGCTCGAGGTTCGCTATCCGCGGCGCTGCACGGGGAGCTGGGAGCCGCTCCCCGCGCCGAGGACTCGGCACCCTCGCAGCCAGCCCCAACGTCTCACGTCGTTCGCTTAGCGCCCGGGGCTTCGTCCAGCACCACTCGCAACAGCTCTCGCGCGCCGCCGTCTGTGGCGACGCGCAGAACATCAACGGTCAACGCTGCTCGCAATATGCGTGTCGCGCACTCATTCATGACCGGTCTCAATGCCCCACCCCCCTGCGCGCGGGCCTTCTAGGCCCGCGGGTAGTCTCCCCCCATCCCCAGGGCCTCCAGGGCTCGCACCTCAACCTCTCACAGACCAGCGCATAGCGCCATATTTCACGTTATTTTCTTCTCAGAACAAGCCGGCTCAAGTGCGCGGGCCTGGCGGAGGCTTCTCTTCTGTGTATCGCGCGCTGTGGAGGCGCTGTAGACCGACTGCAATGCTCCTCGCGCCGTCAGCGATCAGCTTCGCGCCACGGCCGCCGGTGGCCGCGAGGCTCCCAGCCGGCGCCGCGCTGCCAAAGCTCATCGTTTTCGATCTCGACAACACTCTCTGGACGCCAGAGCTGTACCAGGTGGCGAGGAGGGTCAAGGCAGCACCTGTCGCCGGCCGGGACGTCAAGCTCTTCCCTGCCGCGGCGGCGGCGCTGCACGAGATTGACACGTGCGATCGTTGGGAGGGAACGCAGATCGCGGTGGCCTCGCGCACAAACCAGGGAGACTGGGCGCGGACTTTACTCGACGCGTTTGAAGTGCCGGGCGACCCCAGTCGCCGCCTTTCGGACCTCGTCGCGTACCAGGAGATCTACACGGGCAACAAAAGGGCGCACTTTGAGAGCCTGCGCCGGCGCAGCGGGCTGCCGTTTGGCTCCATGCTCTTCTTCGACGACGCGCGCGGCGGCCGGTTCGGAAACTGCGAGCCGGTCGCGCGGATGGGTGTGCTCTCTGCGCACTGCCCCAACGGGCTCACTGACGGCGTCTGGGCGCATGCCGTCCGGTCGTACGCCGCGCTCGCGGCCGACGAAGCTTGGATGGGTATGGTGGTTCCGGCAAGCGGCGGGGCTCCCGAGTCGCCCGACGAGGCGTCCGCGTCGGCGTCCGCGGCGGCGCGCGAGGAGTCGAACGGCGGGCCGCACGACGCGACCGTCGTGCGCTGGCTCGAGGGCAAGTCGTTCGGCTTTGTGCGCCGCGTGAGCGGTGGCGGCGACCTCTTTGCGCACGCGTCGGCGCTGCCGCCCGGCGCGCCAACGCCGCAGAAGGGCGACGCGGTGAGCGTGCTTGTCGGCGTCGACCGCGGCGGCCGCGTGGCGTGCACGTCGGTGACACCCACGGGCGGCCCCGGCCCGAGCGAAGGTGCGAGAGGGGACGCACCCGCAGCTCAGTTGGGCCGAGGAGATTCATATGTGAAAGCGAGCAGGGGCGCCGCACTTCACGCAGGTCGACACCCCTAGACGGCGCGGAGCCGAAGCCGTCCGTGCCACGAGTGCGGGACGCACGCCGTCCGTGCTGACGCCCCCGCCGCCGCGCAGGCGGGTCGATCACGCTGCCCTGCTTCTCGATGAATATGCCCTTCGCGGGACTGGTCGCTCATGGGCGCAAGACGCTCGAGACGCGCAACGGCACGATGTTTGAGCGCGCGACCGGCCCGCGCGTCTAGAGGCAGTCCAGAACAGACGGGGACGGGATGCTCCATGCAGATCCCTGCAGGTCCCTGCAGCCTGCCAGCACTCGAGAAGTCTGTGGACCCACGCCACACGCGCCTCCCTTCCTTGACTCGAGAGACGAAGAGAAACGGAGAGACGCCTTTCAATCACTCGGTGTCGAGACGCCGCTCCGACGCGCTCGACTCTAGTCCTCGCACCGCAGGCCTCTGCCTGTTGCACGTGGGGCGGCGCACCTACCCGGACGGTGCATCACATGGCGAGTCACTGTGAGCCCTCGAGGCCCTTGGAACGGGAGAGGGATGCTCACAGGCGGCAAGCATCGCGCCATCCTCGCGGAGGCGGGCGACAGCGAGGAGGAGATTGGGCGCACGACGGCGCTGCCGCCGGGCTTCTCGCGCGGCGGCGTCGTCGCGCTGCTCGAGCTCGGCGACACGCGGCCGGCCAGCCTCGAGGAGAGGTCGACGGCCGAGGTGTGGAGCAGACCTCGGCACATCTCTCGGCTCTTGGACCCCTCGGCTTCGCGGTCTGTGTCATCTCGGCACACACCGTTTGGCCGCGCGTACGTCCCACCCTCCACAGCCCTCGGGACGCCGCGTGTCTCGGACGCATCACGCCTCTCGGATGCATCTCGCCTCACCCAGCCGGCCTCACCCCTCGAGCTGTTCGGCCGCGCAGGTGCAGAGCGCCGCGTGCGCCCTTGGCAGCGACATGGGGCGCTACCTCACTGAGGCGAGGTGGGGAGCGTCCCCGGGAGGGAGGGAGTGGCGGGAGCGAGTGCGAGGAGGTGTGTGCGGCCAGCTGGTTGGTTGGGAGGGAGGGAGGGGCGGGAGCGAGTGCGAGGAGGTGTGTGCGGGAGCTGGTTGGTTGGGAGGGAGGGGCAGGCTGCTCACCCGCGCGCACCGGGCCTTGCTTTTTGAATGCCGGGCCAGCTCCTGCCTGTCTGGGTGTGGAGATGCGAGGGGTTCCCGGCCCTTGCCTGACCAGGTTGTGTTGTACCTTAACCTACCTCGACTTACCTAGGTGAAGCGGGCGTCCTTCCTCAAGGCGCCGGTGGCGATGCGCGGGCAGCCGGGGATGTTCTCTGCGACCGTGCCGCGCGCGGCGCTCCCCGACGGCTGGGAGGTCGTGGTTGGGGAAGAGGGCGCGAGTCGCGCTGCGGCACAGGCGGTTGGAGCGCCGAGGGAGGGGCCGAGAGTGCGGCAGACCTATGGCTAACCTCTTTTGCCTTTCGCTCTATTTCGATCGTTATGAGTCTTCGGGTTGGTAGATGGTACTATACCGTTATTAGGTGAAGTTTTGTAGTTTCTCGGCAAGAGAATTCTTTTTGCGGCGCGTCCGAGGACGGCTCGAGCGCCGCCCAGCCTGTTCTCCGCCTTGAGAGCGCGCCGCACGTGAATAGGTGCTGCGCCGGTATTTTGGGTTGCAAACTTGTGGGATGCTCTGGGGGGAGGCGCAGGCGAGGGCCCTAGGGGGTACCCATGCGGGGGGGAGATGGGGTCCCCCAGCCCGCCGCAGGCGCCGATTTTTGGCATTTTTTGTTTTTCGCGCATTTTTTTACTTGTTTTCATGGGAATTCGGCGTACTTGCGGCCATGCTATCACGCCTTGCGACATCCTTTCGGCGCTGCTGACCGTGCCATGCTGCTCAACTGACCTCCTGCATAGCTCGCGGCCTTAGTCTTCGGCATTCAGTGACGACCTGATCGTACGGCCAGTAGGAAGGTGTCCTTCCAGCGCGTGCACGCTTCTGACGCAATGCGCGTCACAAACTGCCTCGGATTGGCTGCTGGCACTCTCGAGGCTGTGCCTACACAGCCTCGCGCGCATGGGCAGTCAATAGGGACCACGCACCTTCTCAGGACAGCGCCGGTGCCTCTCTCTTGGACCGGCAAACGTGGTGGTCTCGTGTCACCGATGTGGGACCAGTGCGGCATCGCGCCATCGACAGCTCTGAACTGCGCCTCACCACTGACCGGGAAGGCCGCCAAGTGGGCCAGCACCGGTCGCACATTGTGGCAGCAGTCAGCAGCGCATGTCTGATAGCTAGAGCAGCAGCGTCAGGGTCGCAGGGTCGGATCGTGTCAAGCCTCTCGCCCGGCCGGCCGTGTGCAGACGTCGGCCTGTCTGCTGTCGCGCCGGTCAGTACGACCGATCAGGTTGGAGTTTTCTGATGGCTAGAGGATCTATCTGTATGTACTCCTCGAGATCTCTCCAAATCTGCCCTCTAATCAACCGTAATCATTCGGGAAGTCGGTGCTAACGGAGACTAACGGAGCCGGAGCCCCGTTTGCGTTTCCGCACGGCTGCGCGGCGCACGGTGCCTCCGGGGGCCCCCGCCTCCCCCCAGAGGTGGGATGTGAACACTGTATTTTATGTGACAGTACACTGCAACAGGACACGGGGACATGCATCGGTTGTCCTCGTTTCTCGGCTGCGCGAGTTCACATCCGAGATACCTCCTCCTGGCTCTCCTTACCGGCGGCTTGGGGAGCCCTTCGCTGGGCCGCCAAGGTCAGCGCCACCCCTCTCTTGGATCTGTTGGCAAATCGCCTTGCTCGCCCTCCGGACCGAAAACGCAACCCCTTCCCGGGCGCCGCTTTCGCCGCCCCGCCCAAAGCCCCGCCCGTCGCAGCGCCCGCCGCAACGTCCGCCGCGACGCCCGCCGGCCCGCCCGCCACCCAGTGGAGGCGCAGCCGCCTCTCAAACTCCTTCTCTGCCGCCGCGTAGAGCGGCTCGTCGAGCTCGTCGCGGAAGCCGCGCAGCACCGACGCGTTGTACCCCCGTCCTGCCGATCCGTAGCAGACCCCGTCCTTGTCCTTGAGCCGGCAGCCGCCGCCGCCGCGGCGCGCGTCCGAGTTGCGGGAGTGGCCGAGCGACTGCATCTCGCCCTCGACGGGCGCCGTGCCTCGGCCGAGCGATGCGTGCAGCAAACAGACCGACTCGCGCCACCGCTCCACGAGTCCGACAAAGACGAACGCGTCGGAGCGGAGCAATCGAATGGCGCGCGCGAGCAAGGCCTGAGCGCCACGCGAAGGGGGCAGGGCGCCGCAGTCGAGCCCGTTGAGCATCTTGACCTGGCAGCCCGCGACGCCGGGGAAGCGAGCCCACAAGTCGACGGTCGGCGCCGCGTGCTTCATCGCCGTGCGGGAGGCGTGCCGCGTGATGCCCCAAGCGTGGTAGTTGTCGAGGAAGGCCGAGATGAGCCGCTGCGACGGAGTGCGGAACATCGCCGCCAGCCCTCCGCCACGCGCGGATTTGGCCGCGGCGTGCGAGAGCATGCCCGACGGAGAGAGGAGGAGCTCGGCGGGGGTGACCGGCACGTGGCCCGCAAAGGGCATCACCAGCCGGCCGGCGCAGCGGAAGCCGTCCCTCGCTCGGCGCGCCTCGATGGCATGGGCCATCCGCACGTCGATCTGCCCCTCTGCCATCGCCATGTAGACGATGTGCCACGCGGGCAGCGCGGGCGTGCAAGCGTACTGGAGCAGCGAGATGCCGAGAGTCGAACCGCACTTTGGAATGTGAAGCCAGCGGACGGCCACACCGCCGGAGCCGTTGGCGGGCAGAGCCTCAGCAGCAGCAGCAGCGGCACACTCTGGCGAAGCGCAGCAGTGCCTCTGCGCAAGCGAGCGGCACCGGGCGCAAGAGTGCACGTCAACGCACTCCGGCTTGAAGTCGGAGCCGCAGAGGAGCACGGTGCTCTGCGTGCCCAAGATGTGGTGACGCGCGCCGGTGAAGGCAGGCGCTGACGTGCGGCCGATGAGCCTACAACGAGTCCGTACGAGCCTCAGCGTTTTTTTTTGGCGCCACTGGTCTCTGTCCGAGCCGTTGTTCTGCAAACAAAAACACAACCACGGACCCAAGACGCACAAGCTCACCTTCCTTGTGCCCTTGTTTGTTCTCTTGGCACCTTGGAGTGCTGGGGGGGGCGACAGGGAGGATGTGGCCTTGAGTTATGTGTACGCCTACTCAGGGTGTGTGGCAGCCCGCTGGCTGTGTGTCTTGTGAGCCTGTTTGTGTCTGTGTGTCGCTCGTGCGTGTCGTCATCATCTGTCTAGCGTCCACCCATACCGCGTTGTGGTGTCCAGTCCGAGCCTGGCTGTTCTTCACCTTTCCACCTTCCTCCCTACTTCCTTCCTACATACATACAGCCGTGAAGTGACAAGGGCATCGAGTGCGACCCGCCATAAAAACGGTATGGCGGTGGAGTGCTCTCTACTGCCGCGGCGCCCCTGCCGGTTCACGTCGACCGGCTGCTCTCGTGGCGCCGAGGCGTACCGCTTCGGTCATGTCTCGCTCGCTGCGAGGTGCCTTTTGGCATGTGAGCGCTGGCTAGAGACGCCAGGAAGCTCGCCTTCCTTGCCTGCGGCCGCGGGCGTGCGGGCGGGCCCGCCAGGCTCGGCGAAGCTCGGCGCGGGTCTTCGAGCTCGCCGCCGGCGACGAGCCAGCATGGCTCGTAGCTCGACGGGAGCATGCCCAGTACCCTCTCGGCGGCATTCTGTACAGCCTCGCCAAGCTCTCTGGGAAGGTCCGCAGGGCCAGGGCGGGCCGTATCGGGCGCGATGGCGCGCTCAGAGTACCATGCCTACCAGCTCTCCGATCGGGTCGCCGGCAGCGGGCTTGCGCGGCGCGCCGCTCGACGGCGGGCTGCTCACCACCCTTTCAACAGTGTCTTCTGCCTCGCTTCTCTCGCTGCAACCGCCTCCGGAGGCCGGCGCCGGCCGCCTCGCTTCGCCAGCGCTGCCTACGCCTACGACATGCGCGTCGGCTCGCCGCCTCGCCTGCGGCGGGCCCGCGTCGCGCGCCGCTCGTCGGGAGCGTGGTCAGCAGGCTGTGCAGCGCAGCCTGACTCACTCAGAGCGCCGCTGATACGGCGCGGGGCCGCGGTCGGCGCTGCTACCGCGCACGCTGCGCTTTGTGCGTCTCATCGTGTCCTAGCTGCGTCGTCGACGCCACTTGCCGCTCGCCGCTGGCGCTGCCCTGCCCCCCCTGCCACCGAGCAAACAAACACACACACATTATTAATCATCGGGTAATAATTATTAATTATTAATCATCGGGCCGCGGCGCGGCGCGGCGGCGGGCGGCGCGTGGCGGCGGCGCGGCGAGGCAGCGGGCGACCTGAGGGAGGGTGTAGAGGATGTAGAGTGTAGAGCGCTGTAGAGCTGTAGAGCTCGAGAGCGCTGTAGAGCTGTAGAGCTCTACATCCGCCGCGGGACGAAGCGCCTGCGTTGTAGAGCGATGTAGAGGCGCTCTACAACGTGAAATCTCTACAACACTCTACATCATAAGCGGCGAACGAGGCACGGTCGCTCTCCGACATGAGGCGCGTTGCGCACTTGCCAGTGCTACCCTGGCCTTCTGTCTGCCCGCCCAATGGGTGGCAGGTGCCTCTGCTGCTGTGGCATGCCTCACGGCTGCGACTGGCCGGCGCCTCGGCGCGTCAGCTCGGCTCGGCGTAGCAATAGTGGCCAGCGCAACTCGCCTGGACTCAACGCTCAGCCAGGAGCGCCCGCACGCGCCGGCGCGAGGCATGGCGCATGCAATGCGCCTGAATGCTCGCCTCGCCTCGCGCAAATGCGACCGTCCTCGCAGCCGACAGTCCGCCGCCTGCTAAAGAAGCACTGCGACGAATGCGGCACCGGCGACGCATGGCAGGCTGGTCATGACGCAGTTATAGGGTGTTGTGTGCCGTCAGAGTGACTCTTTGTGTGTGAGGGATAGTCAGGGCCGTCCATCAGAGCTCCAGTAAGCTTGGAGACACCCCATTAGTGCCACTAGACCATCAGGTCCTCCTCGTTGTCCGAGTTGTTCTCGTCCGAGTCCGAGTCGCAGCGCTCGACGCGCGGAAATTCTTTTTTCTTGAATACAAGAGGGTTGTATTCATGAATTCAAGATTTCTGGCCTTGAATACGTATTTTCCTGAATTTTTCTGCGCTCCGCGAGGTATTCAACACCTAGGATGGTTTTGTTGTTTGCCGGCAAACAACAAAACACACCGGCCCAGACCGCCGCCCGGCCCGCCCGTCCGCCCGCCGCCTACGGTGCCCACCCCGCGCCCCCGGAGCCCGAAAACGGGGCGCCGCGAGCTCGCAACGCCGAGTTTTCCTCGAAATCACACCACATACTGGTTGCCCCTTCCTACGAGGAAGCCTACGAGGAAGGCAGACGAGAGGGTGGGTGGGGGGTGGGGGGGGGGGGCTCTTTCTGCCTGTGCGATGTTGTGCTACACGTCAGAGCCTGTCGAGACTGGGGCTCCACTCGAGGTAATGTCCACACACATGGATTCCAAAGCATTGTAATTGCAAAGGGGGGGGAAGGTCCCTCGACCCCCGCCTGCAACGCTCGCGCGACAGCACACCACTGCTCCGCAAGGGTCGCCTCAATTCGACGGCGCAATCCTTGCTCAACGGCATCTCTCTCCCAACTTCCTCGTGGCTCCTATGGATCGCTTCTAAGAGCTTTACCCGTTCGCAACTGTATCGGCGATGAGGACCGGCTCGCCGGCACTCCGAGAGCATCTCACGAAGCTCAACACGAGCGTTCGTTTCCTGGGTGCCATCGCCGAGCGGGCAACCCAGGCGCTATCGACCCAAGCGCTGCACAAATTTGAACGAGGCGTCGGCTGGCTCATGGTGCTGCCGAGCGCTCTGTGCATCGGCGCCGTGGAGTTATCACGCAACATGACGATTGATGACGCGTCCCTCGCACCCGGGCACAAGCTCGGCCAAACAGTCAACTTCTTGGTCGTCGCAGTCGCCGTCGCTCCCGTGCTGGCCTCCTTCCTGGTGAGCAGCGTGCTGGTCCGGGTTCCTCTCAGCGTCCTCGGAAGAGACGAAGGGGTCGCGATGGCGGCCCTGCTTCATGAGGAACCGCCACTTATCACGGGGAAGTCCTCCTCGCTGGACAGCATCTTGGCCCTCGTCGGCGTAGGCAGCCGGCGTGGGAGTGCGAGCGTGGCCGTCATGAAGCGAGCTTGTATGGCCGAGCGCCTCAGCACGTCCTCGCACCCCGACGAAATGCTGCAGTGGGCCCTCTTGCTGGCATATGCGTGCCAGATCACACACGTGCTCTCCGGACAGTCAGAGCTTGAGAACGACGCAACGTTTGCGGTTATATTGCTGATTGGTTTCCCGGCACTCGTCTATGCGGCGCGCCAGCTGCGCAACCTGCGCATCCGCATCGCCACGCAGCATAACGCCGCCGACTTGCTTGAGCGCTTCCACGCACGCATGCGCCATCTGGTGCTGCTCCAGCTGTGCTGCGTGTGCCTTGTCCTCGTCACCGCCGTCTCGTCGCCGTTGCTGCTCCCTCCGGTCGCCTACAGCAGCGACGCCAACCCATGCACCCTTGTCACGCGCTGGTTCCTGTGGACCAAATGCCGCCGCAGCCACGCCCTCACCGGCAGCCCGTACACGTGCTCGGCCGACGGCTACGGGCCGTACAGCTCTGCCTACGCCGCATGCAGCGCAGCGCGCTCGCAGCTTCCATTCCTGGCCGTCACCTACTCCGCCATCATGCTTTCGCTCAACGCGCTGCTGTACCTCTGGCTGCTCACGGCCACCGACGACGCCGCGCCGCCGCCCTCGCCACCGCCGGCCGAGTGGAGGGGCCTCGAGGCCTTCTGGCTCGGCGCATGGCTCTTCACGACCATCGCCATCGGCTGCTCGCCGCTGTACGTCGCGGCGCTGCTCGCCGACCGCGGCGGGTATGAGCACATGCCATCGCCGACCACCTTCGAGGCGCTCGCGCGGCTGCGCGTCCAGACGGTCAACATTCTCTGCTGGTGCACCGCAATGCTGCTCTTCAACACGCCGCGCGTGCGCCACGCGTACCAAGTCGTCAAGCTGTCGCGATGCCTCGGCTGTTCGCGCGAGGTGGCCGGCACGCTCGCGGCGATCGTGAGCGGCGAGCCGGCGACGACGTACAGCAAGTACGCGGAGCCCACGACGCTCGCGTTTGCGCCACTTGGCGTCGCGGCGCGCGGCGTCGAGGCCTTCCTCGCTGGCGACGGCCTCATGGAGGACTCCATCAGGAGCCAGATGGCGCGAGGCGGCGTCGAGGCCATCCGACGCGAGTTCGAGGCGTCCGGCAGCGAGGCGGACGTCGAGTGCATGCGATACGTTCTCGACGAGGAGGCGGGCTCGTCGCCCACGATCTTCCCGAACGCGCCCTTCCCTCGCGACTGCGACTGGACCATGCGCGCGCGCGCCGACCGCACCGATCCGCTCTCGGGGCGCGGGCTGCGCCTCTGCCACTTTGTGGAGCACCCAAGCGCGCGGCTCGCCGGGCTGAGCTCCGCTCACGTGGCGGCGCTGCGCATCTACACGACCGCCGCCTTTCGTTCCATCAACGAGCCGCTGCGCGACCACTCGCGCGTGGCTGCCAAGAAGCCGCACCCGCTACCTGTGACGGTCGCGCTCATCGCGGACGCCGTGCGCAGGCTGCGGGCGGCGGCGCCCGACGCCGACGTGCCACTCGATCTGTATCGCGGCCTGAAGAACGTGCAGGTGGGCGACGCCTCGAGTAGCTTCGTCGGGCGCGGCGGCACCGAGCGCGCGCCGATGTCCACCACGAGCGACGTTCGCGTGGCCGTCCGGTATGCGGCGAGCGAGCATTCGGTGCTGCTGCGCCTGCGCACCAAGAACGCCATGGAGCGGGGCGCCGATCTCGCCTGGCTGTCGGCCTTCCCCGGCGAGCACGAGTTCCTCTTCCCGCCGCTCACGTTTTTGCAGCACGTGGCCATGGACACCGTCGACATTGGCGGCCGCCCATTCCGGGTGCTCGAAATGGAGCCGCGCCTCGGCTGAGTCGGGGGGGTTCCCGTAAAGATCGTGCTATGCTAGGGCACGCGAAAGAACGTGGCGCGGCCGGCCTGAACCCGAGTATGCGTACACGGGACTGGCGCGCACTGGCACTACGAATAAGAAAGCCTATCTCCCGGGGTATCTGGAAAGGTGGACCGGACCTGCCGCGTGCCGGCCTGCCGCGGCGGGCGTTCATTCACGCTCGCTCGCTCAATCAACTGGACCGCAACGAAAGTCGGCGGGCAGGTCGCGTAAATAAAATCCCTAGGTGTGGAGTGTGCGGTGGCGGGTACCGTGTTTCTGCAAATTTAAAGGTAGGCACACAAAAGGATCAAAACGGATTCTCCCACCGCCTTTTTCTTCTGACTGCGTCGCGCCCCACCGCAACCAGGCCAAGCAGCAGGCGGAGCGGGAGCTCGACAAAAACACAACCACGGACCCAAGACGCACAAGCTCACCTTCCTTGTGCCCTTGTTTGTTCTCTTGGCACCTTGGAGTGCTGGGGGGGGCGACAGGGAGGATGTGGCCTTGAGTTATGTGTACGCCTACTCAGGGTGTGTGGCAGCCCGCTGGCTGTGTGTCTTGTGAGCCTGTTTGTGTCTGTGTGTCGCTCGTGCGTGTCGTCATCATCTGTCTAGCGTCCACCCATACCGCGTTGGTGTCCAGTCCGAGCCTGGCTGTTCTTCACCTTTCCACCTTCCTCCCTACTTCCTTCCTACATACATACAGCCGTGAAGTGACAAGGGCATCGAGTGCGACCCGCCATAAAAACGGTATGGCGGTGGAGTGCTCTCTACTGCCGCGGCGCCCCTGCCGGTTCGAAGGCGCCCGGCGGCCGCTTGGTGCCCACGTCGACCGGCTGCTCTCGTGGCGCCGAGGCGTACCGCTTCGGTCATGTCTCGCGCGCTGCGAGGTGCCTTTTGGCATGTGAGCGCTGGCTAGAGACGCCAGGAAGCTCGCCTTCCTTGCCTGCGGCCGCGGGCGTGCGGGCGGGCCGCCAGGCTCGGCGAAGCTCGGCGCGGGTCTTCGAGCTCGCCGCCGGCGACGAGCCAGCATGGCTCGTAGCTCGACGGGAGCATGCCCAGTACCCTCTCGGCGGCATTCTGTACAGCCTCGCCAAGCTCTCTGGGAAGGTCCGCAGGGCCAGGGCGGGCCGTATCGGGCGCGATGGCGCGCTCAGAGTACCATGCCTACCAGCTCTCCGATCGGGTCGCCGGCAGCGGGCTTGCGCGGCGCGCCGCTCGACGGCGGGCTGCTCACCACCCTTTCAACAGTGTCTTCTGCCTCGCTTCTCTCGCTGCAACCGCCTCCGGAGGCCGGCGCCGGCCGCCTCGCTTCGCCAGCGCTGCCTACGCCTACGACATGCGCGTCGGCTCGCCGCCTCGCCTGGTGCGGCGGGCCCGCGTCGCGCGCCGCTCGTCGGGAGCGTGGTCAGCAGGCTGTGCAGCGCAGCCTGACTCACTCAGAGCGCCGCTGATACGGCGCGGGGCCGCGGTCGGCGCTGCTACCGCGCACGCTGCGCTTTGTGCGTCTCATCGTGTCCTAGCTGCGTCGTCGACGCCACTTGCCGCTCGCCGCTGGCGCTGCCCTGCCCCCCCTGCCACCGAGCAAACACACACACACACACATTATTAATCATCGGGTAATAATTATTAATTATTAATCATCGGGCCGCGGCGCGGCGCGGCGGCGGGCGGCGCGTGGCGGCGGCGCGGCGAGGCAGCGGGCGACGCAGGGCGGGCGGAGCGCCCGGGCGGCGCGGCGTGCGTTCGCAGGGAAAGGGCCGTAAAATAAACACGGGTCTCCGAGGGTTGGCCCCGCATACCGGGTTTCCCCTTAACTGCAGGACCCTCTACTCGGAGCTAATGGACACCACACTGCACGCCCCACACCACCACTCCGCACTCACTCGCATAAGTAGGGATTTTTCTTGCCGAAGCCGGCCAGCGCGTCGCAGACGCGGTACCATTGACAAATCTGCAATATACCCCCACACGAACAAATAGCAAAATCCGAATACCGTGCACGAACTGCGTGATGTGGGCCGGCACATAAAGAAGTACATTTTAGCATAAAGGTGTGCATTTCAATCACCTACCGGATTGCACCTCTGCGTGTACATCTCTCCAAGAGTACAAATACACCGATCCCCGAAAGTCCTATGCGCACCATACGCACTCGACGCTGCCTTTCAACGTGATGCTGCAGCGGATTTTGATTGAAACCGCACTATACGCGATCGACACATTGCCACCGTTGCTCACTGATTGGCTTGTGGTTCACAATGGAGCAGCATGCGACATGTGGACGGGGGCAAGCCTTCAGCTGGTGCCAAGACATCCGTAAAATTGAAGCCAGGAACGGCCGCCAAATCCGTGCGTGCTTTCGGAGCAACTGAGGGAAAGCCGCTGATCGAGCCCAGCGTGCCCGCGGCCTCCCGCGCAGCACCGCCGCTGAGGACGACACGCTGCGGAATTCGGATCGAGCCCATGGAGGAGGAGGGTGCAGTCGGCGAATCGGAGGAGGAGGAGGAGGGCGCAGTCGTCGACGTTGGCGTGTCTGACTCAGAGGAGGAGTTGGAGGTGCTCCAGCAACCTAACCTGATCCAGAAGCTCGCCGACGTTGTCAGGTTACGTGCGTCATGCGTGATCGAGCTTGAGGGAGGAGCTCAGCTAACGATTCGCGGCCGGCCACCCAGCGCCGCCGCCCACCGCCACCCACAAAGCGCCTGCTCTACTATCACCTGGCTGGCTGACGCTCGCCCCCCCCGCTCCACTTTCCCCTGACCATGCCCGTGATAGCACCATCACTGTCGCCGTCCTGGTTTTGAACGTGGCAGCTAGGCTCTAGGGACTCGGTAGTCGTGACCGCCCCCTGAGTGTGAGGAGCAGGAGAGAGAGAGCTTTGTGGTGTTGGTGTACGCAATAACGGGACAGGGTGGTTGTTCTCTCCATCTCCCCTTAGCATGAGCTGCGCCCTGTGTCCGACCCCTTTTGCGCAGCAACACCTTAAACTTTCAGGCCCTCCAAATTCGGGTCGGAGCGTAGCGGAGTGGCAGTGGGCCCCGAGTTTGAAAAGGGCGACGGACGCTTGCGTCCTAGCCTCCAACAACGCCTCCCCGGCGCAGAGGGGCCCCCGGAGGGATGCACAACCGCTCCACGCCACGCCGCTTGCGGCGGTCCTATTCCCAGCTTCCTGTAGAGGTCCCACACGTTATCTTGCCGAAGCCTGCGTGTGTCTGGCGCCTCTTCGTGTGTCTGGCGCACCACGCAGCTCGACTCGGACGAAGCTACTTCGCACAAAGAGACAGGATTTTGCAAAAGCGAGGGGGAGGGGGCGCATTGCACTTAACGACAGTTCTTTTTTCTTACGCGGCTCCCGTAGTTTATCTGTGTTAGTGCCAGTGCGCGCTAGTCCCGTGCCCAAGAAAGATAACAGACAACCCAAGGGAGGGATGGGAATAAATAAATAAATAAAACGGACACACCAAACAAGGGGTGGGAGAAGGACAGGGTCCCCACCTGCGCGAGCAGGATCTTGTAAGGACGATCAGGGAGGGATGGGAGCATCCCCGTGTTGTGAGGGAAATTCTTTTTTCGTGACCTGCTTGGCGCGGAGCCCTTTGCGTCGGGCCAGCTCGTGCCGCAGGAGCAGGAACCCGGTGTCGGGTGTCGATATAGGGGCAGCACTTACTACCCCATCAACCCGTGGTTAGAATGCATTGATTTCTCGGTTCAACGCTCACTTGACAAGCAGACTGGACTAATGGACAGACACTAGAGGTGAACTAATGCACAGACACTAGGTGAACACACAAAAGTACAATGCAATGGACAGCGAGGGTTCAGGATCGTCACATGGCGGAGCCAAAGGAGGCGTCGAGTTTGAACTCGAAGACTTCATGAGGGGACATTGCTGGCAAGGACCGCAGCTCAGGCATTGCAAAAGATCCCGGAGTCGCGTGCGTCGGGCCAGCTCGTGCCGCAGGAGCAGAACCCCGTTCCTGTCGGGGTGTCAGTATAAGGGCAGCAGCCGGTCGGGGGGGAGCCATTGCAGCCGGTCGAGCCGTCGCTGCACTTGATGTTGGTGCAGGTGTCCTTTTTCGGCTTGACGGGCTCCGGTGGAGGTGCTGGGCCAGTGATACCCATGGCCTTGAGATACTTAAGATACTGTTCCTCGCGCTCTTTGTTCGTGGACGGATCAGCTGGCCTCACGACCTGAAGCGCGCACGCAAATGTGTATGCCATGCAGTCCTGGTCCGGCTTGTCCGGGTTGGAATTGCCATAGATCCACGGCGATTCGTTCAGCTTCCAGTACGCCATCGATGCGCTGAATGCTGTAGTGGCGCTGTTGCAGATTGCATCCGGGTCGTCACAGATGTCGACGCCGGAGCCGGTCTCGATGGCCGCCGCAACATTGTTGTAGTTCCCCGGCCAAGAAAGCTGCAAGGCGCCACGGCCATACCAGCAATCTTCGCCGTTGAGGGCGTTGCCCCAGAAGTCGGTGCAGCCCTTAGCGGCTGTCTGGCCATTGCACGTGGTGACGGTCCATTTGCCGCTTGCCTTGGCCTTCGCACTCGTGTAGTCGCCGACCTTGCCCTTACTGCATTTGTTGGGCCCTGCTGGGCACGTACCGTCAGCGAGCTTCAGCCGCTCCTTGCACGCGGTAAAGTGCGCGCTCTCGTACTTGACGTTTGCGACGAACGCAGCAAGCGTGCGCGCATTGGTCTCGACATCTTGGTTGTTAAGGAACTTTTCGTCAGCGCCTGACCGCGTGTTCCAGTTCGCAATCGCCTCGGAAAGGTGCGAGTATGTGTAGAACCCCTTGCAGCTATCGCCCGCAGGGCACGAGCCTTGACCATCAACGGGCTGCATGCCAAGGATCGAGGAGAGGTCACCGTACTTTGCCGCGATTGCGTCGAGCGCTGGGTCGCCGGTGGAGTCCACGACGGGCAGCGACAGGATCGGAACAACGGCGGCGATCATAATCATTTCTGCGGCGTAAGCGGGATGGCGTGAGTCTCAGGGCGTGAATTTGTGCACTGTTGTTGGCCATGGGATGATCTGATGGCAGCTGCGGTGGCAGCAAGGTCAAACGTTGCTTGCTTCTCTGCGGTGTCCGCGGACTGGCTGTGTGGGCGCGGTGTGTGAGCAGGGATTCTCTGGGAGGCGCCTGTTGTCGTGCAACTTGTGTGGTTGAGGAACAAACCAAGGGCCTTAGCAAGCACCAAGGATATCGAGGTCTCGACTATCGTCTTCCTGGCTAAAAAAGGACGGGCGCGTGCGGAGTCCCCGTCGCACGCTCCGATGACGGGGGCTGGGCCAGTTCATCGAATCGTCCGCGCGGCAGTGCCTGCGCACTGCTACTCGAGTACCGACTGCAAGTCACGCACGCGCTGGTCGGCCGTCACCCCTTAATTAAGAGTTAAGTCGGCCGCCACAGTGCGCCGCGTCGTCTGACCGGCGGACTGGGGACATGTTCGGTTTCAAAGGTTGCCAGGAACAAAACGGACACCGTGCTACACCTACAGTTGTACGCGTACAAACAAACAAAGAAAGCGGTGCACCGACCGCACTGCCTTTTCTCCGCACCGTCTGCGTCTCAACTCTAGTCGTGTTTGATAGAGAGTACCGAATATCTTTTGCTGGCCGAGCGAACTGAGCTGGTCGACGCCTGGCTCGCTGCTGGAACGAAAAGCGATGATCAAAATTCCAGATTTTTCTTCATTCTTGCCGAAGCCGGGCCAGAAGCCTCCCGCGTCTGGGCGCCTCTTCGCCTGTTGGCTCGAACTGAACATGATCCTTAGAATCCGCACCAAGGACGGCACGGAGCGCATCACTGCCGACGCTTCCACCACGCTCTCCCGCTTGCGCGAGCAGATTGAGGCGCAGCTTGGTGTGCCAGTCGGGGAGCAGAGCCTCTGCCGGTCGGAGCAGCGGGGGCCGGTGCCGACAAAGGGCGCCGCCTTTGGCGCGTCGGACGACGCGCAGCCGCTCTCGGCGCTCGGGCTGGCGTCGGGCGAGATTCTCTTCCTCGAGTACCAGCGCGACCGCGAGAACACCGAAAAGTACGTCAACAAGGACCCGTTCGTCGCGCTGGCCAAGGAGGGCGACCTCCGCGCGCAAGGCTCGGCGCAGTGGACGCTTACCAACTTCCTGGACTACCGCGCGACCAAAGAGTTCAAGCTCGAGGCGACGCCCGAGCCGCACAGCCGCTTCGTGATGGTAGACCCGGCCGCGTCGCAACAGTTCATCAACTACTGCCTCAGCACCGGATTCGGCTCAAAGTGCATGGCCGCCCTCTCACCGACCTCGGCCCCCGACCTCGGCCCCCCGCGCCTCTCCACCGACCTCCAGCCCCCCGCCCCCTCCGCCACCGCCGCCACCGCATCCACCACCGCCGCCGCCGCCGCCGTTGCCGCCACCGCCGCCGCCGCCGCCGCCACCGCCGCTGCCGCTGCCGCCACCACCACCACCGCCGCCGCCGCCGCCGCAGCCGCGGCAGTGTGGTGATACGCGCCCCTGGGTGGCAGGCGAATCGGCTTCCTGTACGGCCGATGGGCGGCGGCGGAGAATGGCGCCGCCGCCGCCGGCGGCGGCGGCGAGGGCGGCGAGGGCGGCGGGGCGGGCGGCGGGGCGGGTGGCGGGGCGGGCGGCGAGGAGGGCGTCGAGGTGCACGCCATCTACGAGCCGCGGCAGAGCTGCTCGAGCGACGAGGCGGCCGCGGCGAGACGGTGGTGGGCAGGACCGCGACACGGCGGCACGTCCGCGACGCGTCCACGACATGCGCACCGCAGGCGCTGATCGAGGTGGACCAGGCCGAGAAGGCGCGCCTCGACGCAATCGCGGGCATGCTCGGCCTCGTGCAGGTCAGCGGTGTCATGGATTCAGTAGCGCCCGCCCGCCCGCTGGCCAAGGAGCCGTCCCGGACCCTTCCCGGACCCTTCCCGGACCCTTCCCGGACCCTTCCCGGACCCTTCCCGGACCCTTCCTGTAGCCTTCCTGTAGCCTTCCCGGAGCCAGACTTCTCGACCCCCCCCCCCCCCCCCCCAGGGGGGGTTGGTGCAGCGCTCTTGGCGGTCGTCCTGTGTCGCCAGCAGTGCCGGTGCTATGGTCTTGCGGCCGAGTCGGAGGGTGAGTCGGGCAGGGGCGCGGCCGAGCGGCGGAAGGGACGCGCATGACGCAGCTCGCAGCGCCCGAGAGGGGGGCAGCGCTCAGGCACAAGAGAGACCGTCGCCGGGTATGCGCTCCGCGCCCATTTTGTACGCCCCCGAGGCACGCCTGGCCCGGGAGGGGGAGGGCGGAGGGGTGGTCAGAGGGACGCGGCGGGCCGGGGAGGGAGGGGACGCGCGCGCCTTCGAGTACGCACTCGCGGTGACGGCCGGCTCGCAGGGGCCGCCAGCGCCGCTACGGAGCGCTGCCCGCCGGGAAGGTGCTTGGGAAGGGCGCTGGCGGTGATGTCGGTGCGGCGGGGTCTAACTCGGCGGCGAGAGGAGATGCCAAAAGGCGACTGTAGAGAGGCCGGAACATGTAGTGCGCCACGACGGCGGGAGAGCTCCCTCCCGTTGCCCCGCGGGCCGCCCCGAAGGGCCGTGCAGCCCACGCCCTCAGGCGCCGCTGTCGTCGGCGAGTGTCCTCGTCATGCGAGTGTCCTCGTCGGCGGCGTTTCGGTCCGCGGAAAACAAGCAGAGGCGGCGGCGCCGACTCCAGTGACTGCGGTCCGAGCAATGTGCGCCACGTGGGCCGGGCTCAATCGTTGGCAGCGGCAGAGAGCGAGTGCGCACCAGTGTGGTGGCAACCCCTATGTGGTGCAAAAAGTGCGCCGGCCGGCGCAAAGTGCGCCGGCGGCGCAAAGTGCGCCGGCGGCGCAAAGTGCGCCGGCGCCGGCGCAAAAGTGCGCCGGCGCCGGCGCAGATCTGCGCCGGCGCCGGCGCAGAAGTGCGCCGATTTCTGCGCCGATGCACTCTGCGCCGCCGCACCAAATAGGGGTTTTCACAACACATACTGGTTGCCCCTTCCTAGGCTCATCGGCCGCACGTCAGCGCCTGCCTTCACCGGCGTGCGTCACCACATCTTGGGCACGCAGAGCACCGTGCTCCTCTGCGGCTCCGACTTCAAGCCGGAGTGCGTTGACGTGCACTCTTGCGCCCGGTGCCGCTCGCTTGCGCAGAGGCACTGCTGCGCTTCACCAGAGTGTGCCGCTGCTGCTGCTGCTGAGGCTCTGCCCGCCAACGGCTCCGGCGGTGTGGCCGTCCGCTGGCTTCACATTCCAAAGTGCGGTTCGACTCTCGGCATCTCGCTGCTCCAGTACGCTTGCACGCCCGCGCTGCCCGCGTGGCACATCGTCTACATGGCGATGGCAGAGGGGCAGATCGACGTTGCGATGGCCCATGCCATCGA